TGAGAGCATTGGGCCTGATATTTACAGATCTGGGCTCTAAATGACGATACGGTGAAAAAAGTGAAAGTCCTGTTTTCATCACTGTAGTCTCTCTGTGAGGTTCGTTTCTGTAATTCTGTAATTCTTAGAAACTTCACTTTACTCAGCTCAACCTGCCTAATCAAAAAGCTTCCATCTCACTTTTCATCGACATCATCCAGAGAGATGATAAGCACCCTGATCTGTTGTTGCACCTTCTCTTTCAGCGTACCTACCCTGCTGACGACGCTCACCGTTTTCAAATATCTATGATTTCTACGGAAGAGTATCATCTCAAGATCAGCCCCACGCAGTTAGGCGACAACGGAGCGTACCACTGCTGGTATAAAACCAGGTCAGTATCCTTTATGTGTGAAGTCAGCGCTCATACAGAGTTCATTCAGCGAGCAGTGTTCGTGCTTCTGTTACTTTAAATAATCTTTGTTTATACTTTCAGGGACTCCGAGTCGCCCAGGCCGGGGTTACCCAGCATATTCCATCTGTCTGTGCTGGAGTCGACCTTTAAAGGTATTCCAATGAAAGAACGATGAGGTTTTATCCTCTGATGTCTTTCAGCTTTGTGATAATGTTGAAGCACTTCAGACGGATTCATTAAAAGACACATTTTTCTCTCGTTCAAGCTGATGTGTTCTGCCAACAAACGACCAATCACTGCTCAAGCTAGGGTCACCATACGTCCCGATTTAACTAGGACCGTCCCATTTTCAAGCGCCGTGTCCCCATAAAATATCTATAAAACACTAATATGTCCCGGTTTGGAACAGTCCCTATCCCAGTTCCCTAAAACAGTACCATGCAGCCTCTGAAGATGATGTGTTCTGCACACACTGCAGGTGTCCGTTTTCAGTCGGCCGCGGTGGAAACGCAGACACACAAAGCCGGAATAAAACAACAAACACAAACGGTGGGTACAGACAGGAAGTAGAACTGTTCCGGTAAATATTTGGTGTTCGAAAATACGGCCACCCAGGTCAAACATGAGGCGTGAATCCTTCTTGGAGTCCAGACGTAGAAACTGGAAAACTTCAGGTTCCAGCTTCATGTGTCAGGAAGTGAGCTCAGTGTTTGTAAATGGCTTTGAATTCATGACTGTTCTTCACCTTTTATTTCATCCACAGCCACAGTATATACAGAAACCCATACCAGATGGACTTACAGGACGATAATAGTCACAGAAGACGACGCGACTGAAACCGTTACACCCTCATCTGACCTAAAAGCTAACATTCTGGACGTTCACGCACAGCCAGCAAAAGGTGAACCTAACCCGAAATTTACCAAGGAACAATGCGCCAAAGCAGAAGACAACATTTAACAACGTAACCACCAATCTGCATGAGCGCCATAAAAAACTACTCTGCACACCAAACCAAAACTTTGAGCTACAAGAAGCTAAACCTTCTGAAGAGCTCAGAGGTTTGCTGCTTGTTCCCCGACTCTGCAATGACCTTTTACCCCTCAGGAGACTCACGTTAGCACCGGAGAACAAGCTTTCTCGCTGAATTAATCTACCCGGGTATCCACGGCCCACTCTGAATGTAAGGGCGCTCTCACACTAGGCCCAGATGCCCCGTATTGTGCAACTTCACAAAAGCTTTGCTAAATGTTATCAGTATTTGTCTGTTTTTTTTTTTTGCTGCATGTTTCTGCATGCTGTTGTATTTAACATCTGATACTTAACATCCTTTTGCATGACTTTTTCTGAAGCTGCAGTGTTTTGAGCTTTTAGGGCCACCATACATGCGACCTCTTGTCGATGTGATGATGTTTATGTTGTCACAACAGAGGCGCAGACAATGGCGGCCCTCCAGGAGACGGTGATGTCACATCAAGATGAAGGTGAGCGTTCAAAAACTATTTTTAGTGATTGTGACTATAGACGTATTACATTTAGGAGGGTTACCACGACAACGACGGCCTCATTAAAGCTCCACTGAAGCGTTTCTACAGTGTTTAGTCCTGACAAAGATTTTTTATCCTTTGATTAAAACACAAGTCATCCACACGTGATGTTTAATCCCGATGTCTGTGATTGGATGGAACTCAAACCATATTTCGTCTTAACGTGTTCATCTGCCCACCTCAGTGACGACATCCAAGTCTCTGCCCTGGGTTCGGATCGGGCTAATCGCTGGAGTCCTGCTGGTCACAGCGGTCGTTCTGTGTGTCCTGAAAGCTCGACAGAAAATATAAAAGAGGAAATGAGGATTAATGGATCGACCATTCTGTGAAATCATGATTGTATTTGAGAGTCTGCTGCAGACGAGCTTACCTGTTTGAATGAAGGTGTTTACGATGGTCGGACTCGCCAGAGATAAGAACGTGAACTGTTGATGTGGACGATATAAAAGTTAAAAAACAGAACTTATTTGGAAGCTTTGAGTTTGGTCCTTCACTCACTTTGTCAATGTCCAGAAGAAAGCCACTTTGAGGATTTCAAATTCTTAAAAAAAAATATTTACAGCCAACTCTTCAGAGTAGGGATGAAGTATCAACACAGCTCCGCCCACTTCTCCAAATATGGTCACTTCCTTCTGAGTCATCAGCTCTTTAAACATATTCTACTTTTGGTCAATCAAACTCAAAGAGTGTCTCTAAATACGACAAACCACTGAAAAAGTCGTTTTTCAGGTTGTCATTGTAGCTACTGGTAATGCTCAGGTAAACCCCGCCCTAACTCCTCCCCCTTTTTCGGGTCTAGTTAACTCTAAACATGACCCATAAGTGACTAAATGAATATTAAGCTGTAGCAAAGAAGACTTGAAACTACAAATTGAGACCATAAAACTGAAACCTTGTGGAGTCGCCCCCTGCTGGAGATGAGAAAGAATGCAGGTACTTCTTACAGACGGTGTATGATATCTTCCCTTTTGCTTGTTTTCATTAAATTGAAAGAAAGGAGTTGTCAGACTGATACATCGCTCCTTATAGAGACTGTAGGACTCTGTAGGGTTCAGGACTGAATCAGGAATAAGGAACAGGTGCATCCTGCTTAGATTGAAATCCAATATAGAAACGAGTCTGTGCCAAAGCTGCGCTGTACGAGGCCGTCATACAATCCATACAAACCTGAGCAGCAGTTCTCATTGACCTCTATGTGAGTGCAAACTCTGCACACGTTGAGGAGAAGCTTCATGAACTCTGCTGTGGGTTCGTCTGCAGAAACCGCTCTCTCCTGAAGGACAGACGTCATGGATGTAAACGTTCATGAATTCAGTGTCATCGTGACATTAAAGCTCAGCAGTTAACACCTTCACACGCCTTGACCTCGCTACTCTGATCTCTCACAGGTCTGACATTCTCCACATGTCACGTTTAACGTCTCTCTTAAACTCCGCCCACTGTTTGCATCCAGAGATGACTCTTTCTCTCTTTATAACAAACGCTGGTTTTTACAGTCGTTTCCACAGTTCTCTCTAATGTGGTCAATTTAGACTGCAGTACCCCTTTTAAACACTAGGTGTCAGACCTACATATTGCTCATTTTAAACTAAAGGTGAAGATATTCTTTGGTTCATAAACGACCTGTAATAAAGTGTTTCTCGTTTTGTGTTGAATTAAAATAAAGTTTTGTATCACCTGTTTTTTTGTACGTTCTGTACGTATCAGTGTGTAAGTGACGCCTTCATGTGTGCAGAACATTATACAGTCAACGTATATTAATAGACTGTTCTAAGACACACACACACACAGAGCTCGGTGTAAATGACATGAATGTGCTCTTAGGGGTTCACGACCCAGAGACTTTGAGAGTTGCAGAGACTTTTTATTTGTTCAGAGTGAAGCTCTCTCCAGTGGTTTGACTTTAGTCTGCAGTACCCATTTTAAACACTAGGTGTCAGAGTTACACATTGCTCCTTTAAAGTAAACAAAGCGTGCTGTCTGACTAACCTGAGAGAGAGCTGCTCTGACTCATGATGACATCATGGAAAGTCACCTCCACATTCCTCCAGGTGAGAACTTTAACTGGCACCGACAGGTTCAGGTTGTGCAATAACTCCAGTTCTGACATGAAGCCCAGTGTTTGGGGATCGACTCCTAATCCTGCTGAGTAACACACCGAGTTATGTAACGGTTTAATACTTAAGATTTCTCAAACAAAGAGCGAGTTCAGCCTCTCTCACGCTGGTTTCTGTTGTTTTCTGTACCGTGAACTAAAAGAAAGAATCCCCTGTAAACACTTATAGTCTCCTCCTCCTTTCTACTCGGTTATTTGATTCTTTCTGCTGCAGAAACAAAAACAAACAACTACACAGTTAGCCTAACGAGCATGTGTTTGCACTGCGGGAGGAAGCCAGAGTACCCGGAGACATGCACGGGGAGAACATTCAAACTCCACAGAGAGGCTCCTGTCAGACGGGGATTCTAACCAGGAACCTTTTTAAGGGTTAAGTTGTTGCTGCAGAGCGCTAAGGGTTAATTTGTTGGCATGCCGGGCTGCAGAAATGTTCAGCTTTGGTCCTGATTACAGACTGAAGGTCGAGGCTTTAACTGGATCAAGAGAAGCAGGCCGACCTGCAGCATGAGGAATGTCAGCGTGTTCACAGAGTATCTGCAGGGAGGGGGGGAGAATATCACAACATGAACTGACTCACAGGTGAAGGCTGGTAATGACAAACTGTTTTATTCTAAGTGGCTTCAAAAAGGTGAAAATGTGAGTTTAGAGGAGCAAAGAAACATTTCAGAGACCTAGGGCTGCACAATATATCGAGTTTTTAAGATATATCGATATATTTTCAAACAAGATATAGTGTAAGACAATATCGTTAACATGTATATAGTTTATGTTGCATTAAAATAATGTTACAGAGGTGTCAGGTCTCCTTTACCTCATCTCACTGATGATGACTGACTGTCTGTCCCTCTTAACCCTGCTCCTCCTCTCTCTCTTTTATTGTGTTTAAGGAACTTTTATTCTATAATATTACTTTTTAAATTCACAAGCAGGTGGTTTATTTTTCCATGTGTTTTCACTGTTAATAAAATACATATCATATATATCGAGTATCCCCATTCAGCTAAACAATATCAAGATATGAGTTTTGGTCCATATCGCCCAGACCCATCTGTGAGCATAGTGAAGTGCTGAACACGTTTCTGTTCTGTGTATTAGTCAGGATATGTATGAACATCTTATAGAAACATTTAAACACCCCCATAACCATCATAATAATAATCTGCTGGATAAAGACGACAACTTTCTTGAGGCTTCAGATATCTTCTTCATTCGGCTGCACAAACATCCCGTCCCGTTTCACAAGGAATCAAAATGTTATTATTCCTCCTGTAAAAATGTCTGACGTCACAGAGATCGCCCCCGCTTTAAAAAAACACACAGGTCAGAGATTTAACCTCACAGGTCGCAGGGAGTTGTTGCTCTACCTTGAAAGACGACTTTGGATTCCAAATATGTTTGTTTTGTTCACACACACTCTCACACACACACACACACACACAATCTTTGTAGCACAGAAAATGAGCTGCGGTAGAACATCAACTCCCGGTTCTGTGAGGTAAAATCTGTGTTTGTAGAGAGTGATGTCACAGCTGTTACAACAACTTTCAGTAGACACACTTTGATCCATCTTAACCCTCTAACTGTCCCCGCCTCCTGTCCCGTGTCAGTCCTGGTCTCACCCAAAGAAATGCGTCTTCGGTCTCGACCTGAAGGACGCCCTGGTGGATGTCTCCAGCTCGTCGCTGTCCCTGAAGGACGTGCTGTGGAGGATCTGCGACGTCCTATCGCGGAGTCTCTGCAGCCTGGGCCTCATCTTGCTGAGCGACGACTTCCTCCTGAGCGGTTTCTGTCGGGGCGGTCGATCCTCGCCGTCCACGCAGTCGGCGTCCTCCAGCTGAAGCCGCCTGAGTGGCTTCAGGTTGGTCTGGAGGACCTTGGAGAACCGCCATCGTGCCCCCTCGCTGTGCGTCTGGTCCTCTGAGTTGGAGCGCGAGTCGTACGCTCCGATGATGTCACGGATGTCCATGCTGACGCTGTTGGTGAGGTACTGGCAGGCCTTTCTCCCGCTGTAGTCCCTGATCTCCACGTCGGCGCCGTACGCCCCCACCAGAAGCTTCACCACCTCCATGTGATTGTGCATGGCGGCCACATGCAGTGGCGTGTACCCCGTGTTGGAGCGAGCGTCCACGCTGATGGGAACACTGTGCTGCTTGGCGAAGTTATGATCATCGCGATGAGCTCGGGTTTCCCGTGTTTCGCCGCCCAGTGCAGGCAGGTGAACCCGGTGATGAAGTCCTTCCTGAGGACGAGGCTCGGCTCGGTGGCGAGGAGCGGGAATAAGCGGCTCCACTCGCAGTCAGAGGCGCACATCATCCACTCGTGCTCCAGCGGGTCCAGCGTCAAGGACGTCCGGTCGTCGTCCGGACCTGAGGTCAAGGAGGCGGAGTCACTGTCGCTCCTGCAGGAAAGGTGGACGGAGCCGCGGAACACCATGCTGCGTCTCACCTGGGGGGAGGAGCTCATCATCACCTGGATGAAATGCTTCCTGCTGCCTTTAGGGGAGCCGCTCCCCTCGCTGTCTGACAGACTGCATGCATCATCATCATCATCATCATCCTCCACCTCCACCTGTCTGCTTCGCCTGGTCACCACCTCCGCCTCCACCTGCCCTGCCGCGTCTACCTGTGCTGTGGGAGTGGTCTCTGCAGGTGCTGGCAGGTTGAACACAGATCCCTCGGCAGGTAGAGGTGATGCCTGGATCACTGATATTTCCGGTATTTCTTGTGCTTTTTCAGCCCGCTCCCTCGAGGACTCCTTCCTGTGAAGACTTCCTCTGTTCCCCATCTCACCTGAGCTGCTGTTCACTTCCTGAAACACACAGTCAGACCCCTCACTCTCCCCGCTGTCCCCTGCTGTGTCAGGTAGACTGCTTTCAGGTGAGGAAACACGCGGAAGTCTCACCTGGCTGTCACTTCCGAAACCTGATCCAGGTGCGTGAGGGGCCGGCTCCTCCGCTGCGTCATCGCCGCTCACCTGCGAGGCTGCGGGCTGTCTCTCTGCTGCCTTCAGGGACCCTCGGAACTTCTTCTTCAGACACACACACTTAACTCCGTCCTCCGTTTTCACGTAAGCCACGGTGTCCACGTACATTTTAAACCGGTTCCGCACTGCAGCCTTCTTCTGTGGATCCTCCGGGAAAACGGACTGAAGTGCTCGATTAGCTCCGAGTTCTTCACTTTTCCGCCTCTCTCTTTCAGAAAGTCCAAAACGGCGTCCTGAGAACACTCCAACGCCATGTTTTTGAGTCACCCCCCCCACGGGGCTTTAACGGCGGGATAACGGTGTCAACATGCTCCCCTCCGCAACCGTCACACCGACTAATCCATCCGCAATGAAACGACGAAAGTAGATCCGTTATGATCCTGAGTGAACACCGCCGTGACGCAGAGTTTCTCTGCATGCCTCATTTCTATGCTAGAGGCGTTCTCTGTCGCCTAGCAACCGAGACCCAGCGGACTGTACCATTCAGCTCTGCCTGAGGGGGTCAACGAAAACATTATTTTTGATGGTTTTATTTTTATATTTTACACCTTGGAATATTATATATATATTTTTTTTTTATTGGAATGTGATTTAATTTAGATTTTAATATCAAAATCCATAAAAGTGGTCCTTAATAAAACTATTTAAGCAGATTTAGAATGATGTCACCTGTTTGTGAATAGTTCAGCTTCAAACTTAACAGTTAAAAACTTAGAAAAATATATAATAAAATGAATAGTTTATTCTGTTTTTATTGGCTCATCAGTATTGAATATTTTTTATTTCTCTTCCTCTCAGAAAAATAAAAACTTAAAAAAAATCTATTTGTTTGTTTGTTTGTTTATCTTTTATATTTACGTGTATTTTCTGAGTCTTCCTTCACAAACACATCATTTTTGTTTCAGTATTCTTATTATAATCTTTACTTGTCTTGTTAACACACCGCTCTCTCTCGTTAGGCTGAACATTTTAATTATCCTTAATTATAAAAGTCATCATCATTGTCTCATAAGCCTGTTGGACTTTAATTTAACTGGATTGTTTGTTATGGAAACCTGCGCTGGTCGCTGTGTTCAACAGGACTGAAAAAGGCCGACACCCACCTGAGTCATCCAGGTGATCGCACTACAGGTAGATCAATGAATCACTGTCTTAGCACTTCAACAGACTCGAGTCGCATCATGTCCTTCAGAACCCAATTTTTATTCAAGAACAACAATCAAGTATTATTCTTCCCGCCTTTCAAATTTGTTGAGACTGCACCCACCAACCGGAGAGGCCACACACACACAGGCACACACACACAGGCACAGATCACTCCGCTGTGTGTTTTAAATCCTTCAGAGCAGGAAGGATGTCGTCCAGGTGACTCACACCTGAAACAAACACAACGACACTTCAGTGAGGTTTGGACTTGTTATTAATACGATTTTAACTTATCATCAGAGTCGCCGGGTTTGTCTGCGAATGAAACGTCTGACATAAATGACACGCTCGGGTGGAGATCTTTAAGCCACACCTCTCAGGCCGTTCATTTGGATTTACCTAAAGAGTCTAAAATGTCCAGAACGAGGGCGTGGAAAGCCGGGAAGAACTCATCGTGTTCCTTCACTTTGACGACGATGCTGGAAAATAAAAACAAAAAACAGTCACTGTAGTTCTGCTGCTCCTGCAGGATGTTCAAATCTAAATGTGTGTGCATGCTGTTTTTATAAACCTGTCTATGTCATCGTCTCCAAGCACATTATGGAGGCCAGCTTTGAGCTCAGAGCAGGAAACCAGTCTGGAGACCTGGTGCACCACCTGAGCAGGAGGAGCTCTGCTGTCTGGAAAACAAGACAATCAACATCCTGTTCACCTGCAACAAAAAACTACAACAGCCTTCTGGACTTTAAAAAACAAAAGATACAATCTACACTCTTCTGGAGTAAATAAAACAGTCCCTCAAGTCCTCTCAGGTAAAGCTCCCCGTAACGCTACTACAGGTGTTCCACAAGGGTCAGTACTTGGTATCTCTCATCACTTATACACATAATTAGCCTACTTGACTTGTGAAAACGATTGTAATGAAAACGTAGGACTGTGTGCTTCAAAGGTCACCTAGCTCCAGGACGTCTCTCAGGTTCCTCATGGCGTTGGTCATCTCTCCCAGGCGGGTGTAGACCTCGTTCATACGGGGGTAAACTCCGCTGAGGGAGGTCACGTCAAACAATTTCTGGAAATGGGACACCATGGAGCCCAGAGTGAAGCGAGTCGGACTCCTGAGGACCTGAAGGACCCACAACATGCAGAGTGAGAAGCCAACATGAACGACTGTGGGTTTATTAATCACATTAAACACGGTGAAGTGCTGCACCTTCTCATCATCGGTGGACGCGTTCTCCAGCATGGTGTCCACCTGCAGCATCATGTCCTCCACCTTCACCGTCTCTGCAGCATTATGACCTTCATCAGACGGCTGCCACGGCATCAGTCTGACCGTGAGATGATTTAAACTCTGCTGCAGGTCCTGCAAACACAGACACATGGTGCAGTCCATCACACTCAAGACTGAAGGATGAAACCAGTCTCCAGGGGTCACTATTTCTCCACAGAAGAGGATCTCACAGTGGGTACAACATTTTTAAAGACGTCCCCTGAGCAGGTTACTGAGGACTGACTTTTAAGCAGCATCGATTGTTTCCTGTTGCAGACTCCCTTTCTCTCTTACTCCTCATGAGACTGCGTGCAGGTGTTGTTTACCTTCAGTAGGTGGAGCTGCTGAGCCCAGACCTCCACCGTGGGAACGAGAGTCTGAAACTCAGCCAGCTCCGGACCAGCGCTGGAAGCTTTCTGCCTGTGGAGCCGCAGTGGAGCTCTGGGATTGGTCGTAATTGTTCTGATCTCGTCCAATAACTAAAAGTCAGAAAGATTTTTATGTCAGATAAAAAGTTGATTTCAGAAAACAACATAAAAGTGACCAGCAGAAAGACGAAAACAGGGCAACCTTGCGATAGTTGGAACACACGTCTCTGATGTTCTCACTCTTTTCAGGCCTGTTGTCCTCTTTAGGAAACCTGCAATGAAGTAATTAGATCAAAAGAACTCTTGTTTACATGATTCTGTGTTTGCACTTGAATGCACCACTTGTCTCACCTCGTGTTATTGTGTAATATCTCCAGCCGACGCAGTTTGTGTTTGTAGAACTTCACGTCTTTGAGTGTGGGTCTGCAAAAAGAAACACAATCAGCAAGAACCTACAAGAGCCAAAAGCTGCAGTTCCTGTAGTGTCCACTAGAGTCTGTCTCCTGCAGTGAGTCAGTCCCCATAGAGCCCCATGTTAAAATGTCCAACTTTACAGCTGCAGTTCCTCCAGTGTCCACTAGAGTCTGTCTCCTGCAGTGAGTCAGTCCCCATAGAGCCCCATGTTAAAATGTCCAACTTTACAGCTGCAGATCCTCCAGTGTCCACTAGAGTCTGTCTCCTGCAGTGAGTCAGTCCCCATAGAGCTCTATGTTAAAATGTCCAACTTTACAGAAGCAATAAACATGTTTACTTCTGGCCCAGGGGATCAATAAATGCAGAAATGGAGCCTCAAAATCGGTAGTCGACAAACTCACAAGTGACCTCACAGTGGTAACATCAACACACACAAACACACCTGGTCTCCAGCTCTTGTTTTAACCGCTCCACGTCCGTCTTCAGCTCCTCTATTTGAGTTTTGCTCCCTCTCTGCTGCTCCTGGTATGCCTGTGAGGAGATGTTAACGTCAGCTGTTTCAGAGGCAGATTTATCTGAAAACAAACAGCTGTGAGTTCACCTTGAGAACGGTTTTGAAAGATCTGGTCACATGGCTCGATGCTTTCCTGGTCTTCACATTATGAGTTACTTCAGAAGCTTCTGGTTCTCCTTTAAGAGACCTGCGGAGGGGAAGAACATCAGATTTCTTTTTGGTCTTTAAATCGTTAAAATCAGGTGAGATATGCAAGTTAGCGGGGATACCTGAGCTCGTCCAGCAAATGACTCATTTTAGTCTCATAGAAGTCGATCACTTCCAAAACCCTGCAGGTGGAGAGCAGGTAAAATGTAACTAGTCTCAAACTTGTAAAAAAACATTGATTTAATCTGCGTTAAAGCTTAAAAAATGACATCTATTTCTTAAGACAGAAGTGGAGGAGAGGAATGAATAACTCAATATCTCAAAATCTTTTATAAAAAAAGTGTTCTCACTGCTGCTCTGTTGGAGCCTCCTGCCGGCTGACTTTGTCACAGACGAGCTGGAAGGTGTGCTTCTGTCGAGCCAATTGTCGCTCTTCTTCTTTGATGGTGAAATAAAGTTTCCTCTGCAGCTGAGCCATTTCCTCCTTTTGTCTGCTCAACTTCTGCTGCAGAGAGTGGCACAGCATCTGAGGAGGAGAACGATGTCAGAAAACATTCACTATCAAGCAGTCCCAGAAGGTTTTGACAAGATCAGTGTAAAAAGCTTAAAATCCACATTTGCCTGTTTGATACCAGGGCAGCAAAAATAGAAATCCTAGACACCCACAGTTCTATAATTTATGGTTTTGAATGATCACAGCTCAAAACTGCTCAAATTCCTCTTCATTGCAATTCAGAAAGTGTGCAGGAGTTTCCTGTAGTATTTCTGAGTTTGTCCCCACATGTTTGAAGAAGACGCTAATGAATGGACAGACCTGTGCTTCCAGTGCTTCCTGCCTGTCCTGCTGCAGCTGCTGACTGTGGCTCTGCTGTTGGACGGCCTTCCCGATGCAGCGGTCCTCCAGGTCCTGGACTCTGGTCTTCACCACGTCCAGCAGCCCCTCCAGCTCCGAGACCCTCTGAGACTGCTGAGCCGACCGACTCATGTGCTCCTGAACGTCTTCTCTGGAGACAGAACATTTTCACACCTGGTTTTACGTGACTCAAAGAGGAACAAAATGTTTCTGAATGTCTCCAGTAGAGGAAGTTGCAGGTTGCTGGTCTACCTCTGCAGACATTTCTTAGTTACTTTGACTTGTGCAGCAGCAGCAGACTACAAACTCCCGTCTTCTGTGAGGTCAAATTACTGTTTTTTTAAATTGGGTCTGCCGGCTTTGAAGCTGCTTCATGGACAAACCAAATTAATCTTCCTCAATCTCAAATTGCCGCTGAGGATCACGTTGCTTACACTAAAGCCCAAAGATCTACTGGAGCCAATCAGAAGCGGTTTTGAACTTCAGATCTCGCCGAGGGATCATGCCGGTTTATAATGACAGTATTTGTTTTAAGGAGAAATGTGAGCCGCAGTGTTACAGTCAGCTGGTTTGTCTGTCATCAGGCTGAGTCTTCATACCTGCACTCAGGTGTATCTGTGTGACAGGAGGACAGGTGGTCGACACACTCGGCAGATACATTATTAAACAGATACCAACCACACACTGCAGGTATGTCTACACATCAGTACATTTAAACTCTCAGTTTTCACATCGAAAAGCCAAAGAAATGCCAGAAGCTTTAAAAAAATGTACTCCAATTACTTCACTGAATTCCATTTTTTATCAGTAAGGTTATTTTGGTAGATTCTTTACAAAAATCCCAAGAATGAAATCTCTGACTATTCGGAGCATTAATGTTATCATATTAAATTAAGAAAGTAGTGAAGGAACAACCCCCCCCCCCCCCCCCCCCACTGCCCCATTCTATTTACAGTTTTATTTTTATTTTATTATTCATTTTTTTAATTGTATTTTTTTTATTAATTTTTTTTTTCTTTTTTAAATCTTAATTTAATTATCTTTTCTCTCTTCGTACCTTTTCTTTGGATTTTTATCTATTTTTATTTTATTTTATGTTGTATTCTTGTATGTTTAAAAAAAAAATTATATATACAAATGTGCCAGGATGAACAAAATTTGTGATGAAATATGACAACTTGTAATGAAATAAAACAGCCTGCAATAAAGTATTAAAAAAAAAAAAAAAAAAATGTTATCATTGTTGATGAACTGTTGCTGTGACTGATTGAACCCGAGGAAGGCGAAGCATCGGGGTTGTGTATATTTTTCTTGTGGGATTAAAAGACTGGAGCATGTTTGTCTCACTTGAGCTGGTTGTTGGTCTTGATGAGCTCCTGGATGAGTGTCTGTCGTCTCTCCGAGTCTGTGAGCATCGTCCTCAGAGTCTGTCTCATCTCAACCGTAGACTTCTTGTCCAGCAGAACCAGATCTAAGACCAAATAAACGTCACTTATATCACACAGTTAGTAGCACACATAGGGCTGGACTACGGGCTTTAGGGAAAGGACAGGAGAACAAATGAGATGTAATAATTATACAGCCTGCAAATATTAAGATAAAACAAAGTAAAGACTCACCGTTGAGGTTCTTATTCTCCGCCGGATCCGTGAAGTACATCGCTTTAAAGCCATGATGCTGCAGGAGTTTGTTCACCACATCCCACTCTACCTGCTCCTGCTGCGAGACAATCAGAGGCGATAAATAAGAAACACTCAAACTTATAATAACACAGAACACGTGAGCTCTACCTGAAACTGCCTGAAAGTCCACAGATAAACAAAAGTCTTATTCTTTGCTTGTAGAAAATGAGATGTCCCGCTGTGCATGTCCATTCTTAACTCCTCTCAAGCATCACTATCACCTGAGTGCCTTTCTTCATTAAGGTGCAACCGGTGATCAGGTTTCTGCAGCTTTCACAGCATCCCCCCCCCCCCCCCTCCACACACACACACACACACACCAGCTGACTATAACACACACAGTGTACATGCTGACTCACCTGATCCATCATTTCAGCCCACTGCAGGAGAAAGAAGAAGATGCACGCGTTAGTTTTAAGACTTAAAAGTTCCCAGCCATTTCTTACGCCGAACTCCGTTTAAAAATCTGTCAATTTAAAGAAGTTGGGCAGCGCATTAAAACACAAACATCACAAAAAAAAAAATGTAAAACCACTAAAATGAATCTTGAGGTTGTTTTAGATAATTCGGCATTAAAATGCTGTCTGTATGTTATTACAGTAACATTAAACGGACCTTCTTATTTGAGAGCTTCTCCGCGATAACAGACGCGACTGTAAATTAGTTTAGCGTTCCTGGCTACATCCTGCGCCGAACTCCGTTTAAAATACAGGCAATTTAAAGAAACTGAGCAGCGAATTACGAAGCACAGTCATTTACTATGTGACAAAACACCTTAAATGAATCATGAGTTCATTTTAGAAATATCGGCACTGAAATGGCATCATTATTTAATTACAATAACATTAAAAAGACCTTTTCTTTAAGCCTCGTTTAAGCGCTCTGTAAGAAAGTTAGCATGTAGCTTCACGTTAGCTTCTGTCGCTACAACTTCATGTTAGCAGTTAATACGTCACTGTAAGCGGATTTAATAAAGAACAATACCGGAATAAGTGACCCGGTAAATTGCCGGATAGTTTTTTTCCGTTATATGCTGCTACTGTCAAATTACGGATGTTTATTATTGTATTTACTTTACGTGCCGGAGTACGGACGTCTCTTCCGTATTTCAAACAAGTGCGTAATCACATTCAGCCAATCGGAGGTGGGTGTTTGTCTCTCTGACCAATCGCTGTTCAGGACCGATATCAACGTTGTACACATGATGAGAAAACATATATCTGCGTTATTAAAGCTAAATTTAACATTTTATGAAACAGAAAACCATAAACTACATGATATATTAAGAACATTTAACAACGCACGAAACTCTAAAGCATTTTAATGACTTTAAAAGTGCTGATAACTTATTTTAAAGTCTTTATTTCTCTGCTTCTGTAGTTAACACAAGTGACCGCAAGGGGGCAGAAATGTTCCACCACATCTTAAACCTCATTTATAAATTTGACATGTATTAAAAAATGAATCCATGAGAGTTTAAAAACCTTTTCAGACGCTTTTTTAAACTTAATTTGTAATAGATTACTTCAAGTGAATTGAATTTCCAATTAAAATAATCCAAAATCCAAACTTTGCTTTAATAAATAAATTAAAAAGACATTAAAGACTCGTTTTCTTCCTCTGCTTCCAAAACAGAAATTTAAAATTCAGACCCTGCATGGACTCGAAGGTCCCACGTATTACACACCTTTGCTGTGATTTACATCAGATGATGACATCACCAGGGAGCTGAGCCCATACCACCCTCCACCTGAAAACATCGATTTTAATATGAATCACTTCGATCCTCCTCTTATTGATTACTAATGTCTGACTGAATCATGATATATTACCATAAAAAAGACCATAGGATTTTAATTTCACTGTTTGATGGATCTGATGCAGTTAGTTTTATATCGACTGGTAGCAGAATTAATAAATTAATGTAGAATAATGAATGTGCAGAGTCCAGATTTCATGAATAATTATTACTTAATTCTTCTTCTTCTCTTTTTTCTCTTTGAAAAAAATAATATAACATTAAAAGGCAGAAAACTTGTCTGGTGGTGCAGTGGTTAGCGCTGTGGCCTCACAGCGAGAAGGTTCCTGGTTAGAATCCTCGTCTGACAGGAGCCTCTCTGTGTGGAGTCTGCATGTTCTCCCCGTGCATATGTGGGTTCTCTCCGGCTTCCTCCCACAGTGCAAAGACATGCTCGTTAGGTTAACTGCTGACTCTGAATTGTCCTGTTGGTGTGAATGTGAGTGTGTCTGGTTGTCTGTTTCTGTATGTCATCCCTGTGGTTGGCTGGCGACCAGTCTAGGGTGTAACCCCGCCTCTCGCTCAATGAAATGTTCATGAATGTAAATGTTGAAGAATAATCCTTATGTCGAGTATAACGTCATCTTTGTGGTTAACGTCGGGAGCAGACGGCGGTCGAAACATCAGCCTCACACAGGGCACCATTAAGCCTCTAATGGGCTTTGATATCCGGAGGGAGGCGGGTGAGTTGGGTGAGGCGGGACTAATGAGGAGTAGTCCTGATGGATGGACGACCTCAGCCACGCAGCAGCAGAAAGAGAGAGAGAGAGAGAGAGAGAGAGGGAGGATGGGAGATCTGCTGAAATCAGCTGAAATAAAGAAAGAGAGAAAGTCATCAATCTCACAGAGAATCGACCTGTTTCACAAATGATGTGACGACTCATGGATCCTAACAATGCCATCACATGACGCATAAATCCTGACATAAATACTAAACAAAAACTAGAGATTTATTTAAGGGCCCAATCCTCCATAGGGTAGTGAGCCCCTCTTTGCCCCCTCTGCTACGCCCATGCAGAAACCACAACCTTTTTCTAGTTTTATTTGTAGTTCTGGTACCTCAACAACCAAACTGTGACCTTTTGTTTGTAGAGTGCACCAAAGATACCTGCTCACAGTGAGGTGAAGCTCAAACATGGGGTCAACATTGACTTTCTTGCAAACAAATAAAGTATATAAAGTAGTAAAAGGAAAGACTAATTTTCTCGGGAACGCAGGAAATTTGTGGATGTTTTGGAGCAGGTGGAGGAGAGTGCTCACCTTGAAGCTCTTTTCTCTCACTTACATCCCAACTCTATCGCCTCCAATCATCTCTAAACTTCGCCTCCATGCAGAGCCGGAGCTTCTGTTCATATAGAAAGGTCCGTCATTTTAAAGGGGAGGAGGAGGGGGGAGAGGGGTGGGGTGATGATGGGCTGTCCCCCGGTGATGCACAGAGGACAGGTAATCCACAGTGAGATTATCAGACTCTCTCATGTTGCACAGGTGCTGGTGGCTGATAGGACTCAAAGTGAAAGTGTGCAGACGGCCCAGAGGACAGATTTAGATGTGAGCAGATAAACAGAAGCTGCTCGGAGTTTCATGTCAACAACAACAAAAGGAGAGGGCCGCATTTCACTCGGCGGAAGATCTTTGTTAATGTGACACTTTGACTGAGGAAGGAAGTTTGACAAATAAAGGTGGAGGAGGACGAGTCTTAGTTATTTATTCAAACAGCTGTTACACTAAGATGATGAAATACCAAACACATCCACTACTTTCACCATAAACAAAAACATCCCAAATCTGTGTGGTAGGTTTTTATTCGGTCTGTATCTCAGTGTGTTGACTCGGCTTCTACAGGTTTCATATTTTCATGCTTTACAGGTGGAGCTCATGCATCAGGCCTCAGGCTCGGGATCACGCTCAGAGGGAATCCTTTTATACGTTCACTTCAGTAAAGATTCAAACACAAACGTCTTTGTCTCCCTTTTTATAAAGTTATGAGGCAGGAGCCGGAATATTCATGCTATTAAAATATGTAATGAAAATAAATAAATACATTAAGAGACATTTACCCTGTGAGTGTGTTTGAGGTTTTTACATCCAGAAGAAACATGAAGTTTACATGATGTGTGCCGGTATAACAGGCGATGTCAGTTTGGTTCATCAAACATAAAACAGGATGTTTGAATAGAATCACAAACGAACATTTGGAAGGAAGACAGGAAGACATGAGGAATTAAAACAAACTGTTAAACGAATAAAAACATTAAAGTTGAAACATTTGACGCTAGCTTCATCTTTGGTGATTTTTCAGAAACAGAAAGTCAGATTACTGTCGTTTGACGACCTCTGCACGACGTGTTCGACTCTCTTTGCATAAAGGTCTCTCGCCTGTTTGAGTCAGGATGTATTGAAGTGTCGCTCCAGTTTTTAGACGTCCAGGTAGAAGAAATGTCGTCTGAGATCACTGAAGTGAACATGAAACAAACCTTTAATATGCAGACATCCCGATGGTTTAAATTCATCAGACATGCAAAGTGAACTCTTTCACTCTTTACAAGTTCTCAAAGTCTCTTTGTACATTAGTCTTTTTATAAAGTTGCATAACTGAATATTTCTTTAAGTGCTGGCTGAGAGGAAGAAGGAGATTCAAGAATGAACGAGGAGTTTTTATCCACTGATTCAGACTTCTGGATTCAGCCTGAGACGATCCAGAGAAGTTAGACACAAACACTTTCAGAAAGTCAGAACACCTGCAGCAGCAGCAGCAGCAGCAGCGTGCAGTGTGCAGCATGCAGCAGCAGCAGCACCTGCAGCAATGTGCAGCAGCACCTGCAGGAGCAGCAGCAGCAGCACCTGCAGCAATGTGCAGCAGCAGCAGCAGCAGCAGCAGCAGCGTGCAGCAGGTGGGGTTTAGTCTCAGGTGGTGAGAGCGAACTGGTCCTGCTCGATGGGTTTCTTCACCCAGGCTCCGAGGCCAGCTTTGTGAAAAGCTCTGAACAGGCTCTGTTTGGAGTTGTGGTACTCGGCCGCCGCCTGCTTGGCTTCGTTGTAGCTGCCGGGCCTCGACGTCCTGAACCGCAGGGTGGACGATAGCTGCAGGGATGAAACCACACAAGAGCTCACTGTAAAGATTGAACCATGGGTGAACTACTTTTAACTTTCTGGAGAGTTTCTGAAGGTTACTGCAGGTCACTAAAAAAAATACTTGAGTCGATCCAAACAAACTGCTCAAGTAACTGACCAGAAGAAATGTCAGAAGACGACTACAACAACTCTCCAAACATTACAACTTGCACATTTTTTACAACATGCTGCTGCAAACAACAACAAGAACTTGTAACATGTCTTTGAGACCTAAAGGACTCAGTCTGCATCCGTCTGTGTTCTCCATCACTGACTCTCTCCGTGCTCTAGATTTGAGGGTTACCTTGCAGTGCAGGCGCATCCAGCGGCCGTACAGAGCATGTTTACAGAGTCGGGACGGTCGACCCAGGTCGTCCTTCCCCGTGGTGGCGTTGATCACCTCCAGACCCTGATCGCCCACCACCCAGTTCACGCTGAAGTTTGGAGCTTTTCCCGGCTGACGAGCCTCCGCGTTACTGATTCCTGCAGGACATGGATTCATTAGACCGGATACAAACGAACATGGAGGCCAAATGAAGAAGCGCAGTGCAGTTTGAGTTACAGGACGTTTCTCTTTGTGCAGATACAGAGGCTGTAAACACTGTGCAACACGGTCATTAATTCAGTATCAAAGAAGGTGTCGTTTGAGTGTTTTTTCTTTCTCACCGCTGAGCAGGGGTTTGTTGAGGCTGAAGGTCGGCGGCAGGTCCTCGATCTCGGTGATCCTCTGGTACATGGCTCTGGAGAGGTGGTCTGCGTGGTACAGGCTGCCCAGGATGATGCTGGAGAAGTAGAGGGGCTCGGTGAAGTAGCTCATCAGAGAGCCCTGGAAGCCCACCACGTTCCACCTGAGCACAGACAAAGATGTATGTTGTGTTTTTCTAGTTGTGTTTTTAAACTACAGACATTCAAATCTGCAAACATCAACCCTGTCTGAAGTAATTCGTTCAAAAACACCATCTGATTGGAGCTCAGAGGAGTCCCGAGGCTGTTAGCGACCTCCTGCAGATTCATCAGACGAGCTAATCAGAGCCCTGCAGGCGCCATGACACCTGACCGAGTGATTGCTCGGATAATTCAACCTCTTCACACATGCACATAATCATCAGGAGTCCTGCTGCTCGGCTCCAAAACACCCTTCAGACCTGGAGTGGCTCTGCGGCGCTGCATCTAACACGCTGAAGAGGGAAACTTCAGTTTGTGCAAAAGCTAAATTATAGATAATGCTGGTTTATTTACACACACACACACACACACAGAGAAACTGTAAACTATGCTGCAGGTTTTAAATGTGCTGATTCGTCCTGAGCACTGCCGCAGGAACGAATGAGCCACAAACCTTCAGAAAAAGAGACAAAGTTCACATCAAACTGGCTGTGTGTTGTTTCCTGTTTGTGGGTTTTATTCAGAGAACACAAACCTGGCGATCTTGTCGCTGCAGGACATGGTGAGCAGCCTCTCGCCCTGCAGGACCCCGTCCCACGTCTGGATGGTGTTACTGGACCGGACCGGGATGGTTCCCTCCCCGGACTCGATCTTAGTGCGGAGCTGTCCACGAGCTTTCCTGTTCGGGTGCCTGTCTCCTTGATCTGAGGGGGAACGACACACACAGTCATCCTCGTCTTTATCATTGGTTTTGAATTCATGTGTTGTAATTTCTCCTCCTCTCACCCTCCATTCCGGCCTCGTGAGGGGAGAAGATCCGGGCGTCTCCGCACGGCGACGTGCTGATGTAAAGGTGGAACTGGACGTTTTCTTTCAGTCGGAATCCTTGCGTGTTTTCACAGCGGGTGAAGATGGACTTCTGATGCTCCTCGTCATGGTTACTGCGGACAGAAAACACTTGATGTTAAAGTATGCAGCGTCAACGCCTCAGAGGACACGGAGAGTAACACCTGTCAGCTCTCACCTCAGGAAGTGCTCCAGCTGTGAGTACAGGAACCTGATGAGCGAGCGGCGAGCCACGATCTCAGCGTGACAGTCATTCAGAGCAAAACCTCGGTCACTCATGTACTCGCCGTTGATGCACTTTGTCCCCGTGGAGACGCAGATCACCTCGGCCTCCTTCACATCCGTACCTGTACGGGACAGAAGGCCGACAGGAGGAGTTTAGAATCACTCTCTTCAAACATGTCTCTCTTTTTCTCATGAGAGTAGCCTTCTCTTTAACCTTTAAACAGGTTTAGTTATAGCATCTTCATGTCAGAGTCGGGTCAGCTCGGATATCTTCACTAAAAACACAAAAAGCATCACGACCACCACGAGGAATAAAACCTGCAGCCGACTCAGAATCTGAAACACGGTGAATTCCTTCCTCTGCTGAGTCCCCGCGTTCAGTCCTGCAGCCCCCTCACCCCCTCTGATGAACTGGGTTTACCTGTTGTCATGACGACGCCCGCCAGCACTTTCCGTCGAGCATGTGGAGACGTGAAGTTCTCTGTCAGTTCGCTGAACTTGTCGACAACCAGGCGGGAGACGGCGTCCGCAAGGACCTGAAGGAGAAATGGGAAGAAAAGAAAAAAATTGACCAGGATTATTTGAGGCCTTAATGGAATGTCTCAGAGGAGTGCATTGATTTATATATGTTTTCATTCCTTTGTTAAAGTTCTGACACAATTACGCAGAGAAAAGTGGCAGAAAGACGTTTAAAAAAAGAAGAATAAAGACGCACCAGTGCGGTAAACACAAGTGAAAGCTCTCCTTATCAGCTCTGAAACTCCATCTGAATATTTCAATTAAAAATCAGCCGTGGTGTGAATGACAGGCGGAGATGTGAGCGGCTTAGAACAGTCAGATCTCTGCTCCGCTGACTGCTCAGTGAGCGACTCGAGAGGCCGCGATAATGAACGCCGGTGTTTGAAAAGCACTCGGAGCGAGATGCTCATTAAGATAGCGGCTTTGTTAGCGGCGTGCAGGGATTACAGGCAGGGATTAGTTCACGTCTAAACAGATTCTCGGTGTGTTCGACGCTCCTGAGGCTTCTCCGTCTTCACTCAGACTCTGTCAGGTGGGTCGTACGGGGGAGGTCTGAACACGAGGATTTCTTTAGACCACAGAGATCTAAAACAACCGAATAATTTATAAAGGTCTGTTAACATATTTATGAACAACCAAGATGGATTCAGCTGACGTAACAACAAGTGGGAACTTCAGTAGATTAGAGGCAAACTGCATTAAAAAACTGCAGTTCCTCCAGTGGCCACTTGAGGCTGACTCCAAAAGTAAGTCAATCCCCATAGAGCCCCATGTTAAAATGTTTTCCTCTCTTCCTGACTCCCTGCAGGACACAGCCCCTAGTGGACACTAGAGTATACGACTCAAAGGTTCAAAGTTCTTACCTGTGGCAGGTGGAGCTGCAGTCCCTCTCGGGGTATCGGTTGTTTCGATGGCGCCTGGTCCAGCTGCATGTTGAATAGAGCGGAAAGAGCGGCCTGTGCAGCTCGAGCCTTTGCCAGTTTCTTGTTCCTCCCTGAGCCCTGAAAGCTCTGAGCGTCCACCCTCACCGACATCACAAAGTTCTTGGCGTGGCTCTCCCCGCTCTCCGACACATAGTCGTATTTAAGGCCCGGCCGCAGCTCGTTGAGGATCATAACTGGGTTCTTGCCGCTTGCTGGGGACATGAAGGGGTTCTTCCCGCTGGGTGGGGACATGAAGGGGGACGGGGGAGGAGGTAAGGGGGCCTGCAGCAGGTTTGGGATGGGGGAGGGGAGTAATGGGTACTCGATTCCCAGCGAGCAGAATGAACCGTTACCGTTGGGCGTGAGGTAAAACGGGTCGTCCACAGGGGCGGAGGTCTCAAAGGCGTTGAAGAGCATGTCGGGGAAGTCGGCCTGGTCCGAGGTGAAGTCTGTGTGGACCGACAGAGTCCGGCCCATCGCCATGTGGGCCTCCGAGGCGTTTGGAAACTGGACAAATGATCTCAGAGCTTTCTCTGCTGCGCTCAGTTTGGCCTTCTTCTTGGTGGGACCTGATCCTTCAAAGAGCTGCCCGTTGACCTCCACAGTCATGACGAAGACGGGGGCGTGGACCGGTCCGGTCTGAGACAGCAGCTTGTACTGCAGGCCCGGTTTGATCTCGTTGAGCTGCATGAGGGCGTTCTTCGGCAGGATGGGCCCCGGGACTTTCTTACGCTTCTTGGGCCGATACTTGGAGTGCGTGTGCCCGTTGTTGCCCTCCTCAAGGGGACGCTTCCTCCCACCCCCAGCACTCCCATTGGGGAGTTGAGCAGCCTCCGCCGTGACCCCCCCTTTGGAGAAGAGGTTGCCCACGTTGCGGTTTTCTTTAACATCTGTGCTGCACGAACCTGCGGTGCCCAGAAAGAGTAACTCACAACGCCTTCGTTGCAGGATCTTGTAAATGTAAAATTTAGAGATTCCTTTATCTCTCTTTGCAAACTGAACAAGTGATGTGTGTTCCTTCATGGTGCAGGTTTAATCTCAACATATTCTTTAATCTATGACACAGATATAGGACTAGAAAATGGTAAATGATGCAAATAACCTAAACTTCAATTATTCTCAAGTAAAGCAGCCACAAACTGACTCCGTCTATTAGTGTCAGGAATCTACTTGTTCTATCTCTGGATGATCCTCGGTGCAGTTGGAACACAAATCACCCGGCCCGGTTAACAAAGCTGATGGAACTTAATGTAAATTTCCATTTATAACATCCTCCAGCAAAAGCTCCAGAGGTTACTCCTTTGGGTGCTCAGGACAGAGAACAATCCTATGAAGGCAGGTTTAGAGAGCTGGCTCGGAAAGAAAAGAAAAAAGGCTGCAAAGAACGATTTCCCAAAATAATTCTGTTTTTCAACTGAGCCTGAAGGAAAACATCAGAGAGATTAGGACAAGTTATGACATCAAATCTGCAGATTCAGACAGAAAAGCTCCTAAAAACGCTCGATAAGGAGGTTAGAAGGCTTTCCGATTCCATCAAATGACTCACAGGTGGATTAGAGTTATTCCTCCTTATATGAACTGTAAAAACCATTCAGTGTACAGTGAGCTGAGCTGACGACTGTAGAAGAAGAAAACAAGTGCGCTAACAGAGGACGGGACTCAAACACAATGGCTGATAAACCCTGCGCTACAACAGAGAGGGCTGATTAACGGTCTGCAGGGAGGAGGGGGCGCTCTGTTATTGTTGTTGTCATGCAGAAATATCCACACGAAGCTCAAACAGAAACTCTTCTTCAGAGTAAAAGAGACGAGAAACTGCAAAGTCAAAACTCTGAGGTCGGAGCGGTTCTGTTTCCGATTTGAAGGTCGGTCCTGTTCGCTTACATTTCAGCAAAGTCTTTGAACAACCTTGAATGCTACGCTGCCTAAACTGTCCGACATAATCCACGTTTCCTCCCCGCTGGTTTCTCTTTGGTTTAGACAAAACACGGACAGGATTACTACGGTGGCCAAGGGCCAAAGCTACAGCCAGCATTATATATTTCATGAAGGGACAGAAACTAAAGACTAAAGTCCAGCAGATGTAGCAAAGAAAGAGTCTTAAACATGGGAATGTTCTCTTTGATCAGATTTTACATCCAAAATCAGTTCATTGACTTTGCCCTGCATATTCTCTTATCCTCGCTGTATCCATGTTTTACCTCCAGAACAATCAGACCTGGGTTCATCCCGGGTCAGGATACTTCAGGGCAGAAATTAACCGGGCTTTAGGGAGCTTTTCTGTTGAGTCTAAAGGGGACACGCCATCAGAATGGACTCAGCTATCAGGACAGACACGCTGACCCCGGGACTTAACCCTGATCTGAACCTTCTGAGTGGGCAGAAAGAAACAGACGATGTTTTCAAGGAGAGAAAAACATCAGAGCAGCTCTGAAAGTTTTTACCTCCATGCATGAAATCATTCATCTGTACTCCGAGCTGATTCTGTAAACAATCAAATAAAGAGGAAAGACTCACTCATGGTTTCTTCTTCGTCCGCCTCCCCGGAGAGCAGCCTCTGCTGGTTTCGAGGTACCCGAGCTCCAACTCGACCTGAAGGAAACACACAAAGAAGACAAAGTTCAGTCAGGGACGCCGCCTTCAAAGACGCTTCTAGTCAAACTACCAAAGCAGCGACGTGGATCCTGATCGGAGAACGTATCCAACTTTGTTTGAGAAGATGGATCAGATATTTGTGCTTGAAGAGAGCAATCAAAGCTTTTTATTAAAGTGGATTACACTCAGCTGCTCAGTCTCAGATAATTACACTTTCATGTCGATTCTCAACAACGTGACATCAAAGTGTCTTTTAATCAAACCACAAGTTTGATGTCGGAAAATATGAGACTGTTCCGAAACTTACAGGAGTAAAAGACATTGTTGGTGACTTAACAGTGAAACTCCCGTCTTCTTTGATGACATTATTACGCTAGACGAGTTTGAAAATGCAGAGACGCTGTGCGAGCTGCAGGAGTCACAATCTGGCAAATCAATTGATTCTCAGCAGCACACGCAAATGATCTCAGTGGAAGAAAACAGGTGATAAAGTTAAAGGGTTCTTCCTCAGAGGTACTAAAGTTCAGAGGTACAACAGTCCCCGCTGTTGTGCCAATCTCTCTCACACTCTTGTAATGTTATGACATCATCATTAAATACGCAGTGTGATGATATTAAAGACAGAAGTTTTAGCTCTCTGTCGTAAAAAGAATGAAGTCTGTAGATTTTATAGTTTTTTTATTTAAGTGGTTTTAGCACCACGGACAGCGACACCTTGACCATCAAGTTAGAGATAAAAAAAACAGAAGATGGAAATCTATAAAAACAAAAACAACAGCCTCTCAGACCCCAAAATATGTAGCAATAGGACCCCGTTGTTTAAATATTAGTTCCTCTGGATTGTTGGGGTCGATGGCCGCGCCAGAATCTTTTGATAGTTTGGTTAAAACATGCAGTGTGTAAAGTTTTCTTCTGTTGGATGTGAATTAAAGACGCTCCCCGTTCAGTCACTTCTGTCTGATTGGGTAATTTTGAGAAAACGAGGTTTCTCAATGAGCGTTCCAAACCCTCCAGAAGTTTCCGTGTCTGTCACCAGTCGTCCTGATAACTACATTTGTTGACATTTGACTTCCTCTGAGTTAATTTTCTTCTTCTGTTATCTGGAGAAAAAAAAGGGAACCTAAGCCCTGCTCTCCTCCAGCCGGCTCACACAATGGAGCGTCTGATAACATTGTCATTTCTAATGTTCGCAGCCACACAGCTGAGTGGCGGCGGGGCAGGGGGGCCGTATCTGCACACAGAGCGGCGATTATACCCCTCCCGAGTCGTTCTCCCGTCAATCCCATCGGCTCCTCGTTTCACGCCGTTCTCCCTCCAGAGGAAAGCTGATTAGCTGTTTTCTGTGGGTCTAATTGAGGTTTTCTCACTTGTAGCTGAGCGCAGCAAACATGGTGGACTTTGTGTTCATGGATTTAAACAGAGAAAACATCCCAAGCTCAACATGGCATTATAATACAGACAGAAAGAAAACACAGATTTAAAGCGTTTCTGCATGTTGGCTAACAAAGCTTCTGATTCTGGCTGAATGGGAGACTCCAACATCAACTTTAAATGTTTGAAGGTTTTATTCAAAAGTTCAAGGGGATTTCCTGCTGGCTTTTCTGACAACAATGCAGCAGCCAGTATGTCCTCCTTCTAACTTTAGATTCTGCTCCTGAAGGCTCTGGATTTGTTTGGACCAAGAAGGTAGACATTTAAAAGTCTCTGAACGTGACCTCATGGTCAGTTGGAGAACGAGCTCAGAAGGAGCTTGTTGTCTTGTTTTTCCTCGAGGGTTTTAAACTTTGAGAGCATTCTTTATATCGTCTTTATTTGTTTCTCGTCTGTGTATCTGTTCCTGGATTGTTTGAAAACACACACGGCGTTCTCCGCCTCGGCGTGTAAATGTGTCGACTCCAGAGAGCTGCTGTGGTTAGTGCGCTGGCGATGGATGATCTGCAGCAGGAGAGTGGGAGTACAAATAGATTTATTCATTTTGTCCTCTCCGTCTGATGGACTCCGTACGACACGCACGGTCGCGCACGCCACTTTCCATCCCTGCCTGCTGTTTATCCTCCAAAAATCTCATTTTCTCCTCCAATTTGTTGACGGCGCTTTGTGTCACTGCTCGACAAATAACGCTCCACATTGTGTGGAGGTGTGAAACAGCAGATACACCGGGAGTGAATGGAGGGAGGCAAAAAGGTTAACTGGTGCACGTTAAACAGGCGAGGTCAAAGGTCAAATACACGGCAGAAAAGCGAGCGTCTAGGTTTGATCCAAATAAATCCATCTGACACCAGAAGTCTCTTTCCTCGTCCATGTAGACATTTAGCCACGACCTGTACCTGACTTTTTTCACCGCTCTTGCATGGGAAGTGACAATTTCTTTCGACCAATCAACAGGCTGCAGTGTGTCTAGCTCCGCCCTTTAGTGTCAGATCGGTGCAAAGCTGAATTCACCAAACTGAATTCCTCCATGTCGTTGCTTTAAGCTCCAAAATAAGAGGAACGAATGAGACAGCGAGTTCTGCAGTTCTGTTTTTCAAGATGTAACGAAGACAAACGGACTTCCCCTTTAAGAAACTTTGCTGCAAATTTAAATATTCACTGTTGCTTCCCTGTAAGTAGATGTTGTTGTTTTACAGTGTATTGATATTCGTCGACAGTAATGGCCGCCTGGAAACAAAATCAATGTGAAAACTGATGGCAGGCTGCGAGGATCATTCATTGTTAAAAGGCTAAAGCGTGAGAAATCAATCCGTCTTATTAAGTCTTGGCCTCCTGGGGGGTAGAACATAAATTAAAACACTGTTTAGAGCTGTGGACATGTTGGACACGCGACCTGAGGGGGTGTTAGACCGCCATCAGGAAACCCCGTCAACGAGAACACAGAACCTGGACATCAGAGGTGACTGAGCAGACGGGGATAAATGGATTTCAGGCGCTCGGGGCGAGTTACAATCAGAGCTGGAGAGAGAGGAAAAAAACAGCTGCAAACATCTGTCACAGGACTCTCTCAGAGGTCTAATGTAGACGGATCGATGGCGGAGGAGAGGCAGACAGCGAGGAGGGCCTCAGACATGCGATGCTGACAGAAACACGGCCGACGCCGCTGCGCTTCTCTCACACACAAACTCCATTTTGTCGCCATGAAATGACATTTGTGAGACGAGCAGGAATTGGACCCTGACGGAGCGCGGCGTGACACATCGACGGGCAGGAGAGGGGATGAGATGGCGGACAGAGAGAGGAGAAACCTGGACGTTAAATCAGGAGAGAAAAAGTGAGGAAGAAAAATGCTTATCAACTTATAACTAAAGGAAAACATGAAGTTTGGTGTCGGATATGAAATTGAAATGAAATTCAAAGCTGACATTTCGCCCCTGTGATCAAGAAATTAAGACATTTCCGTAAAGTTTGCTCAATTCAACGAGATAATTGTCTGACCTTTTCAGCTCCGAAAGGTACAAAACGAAAAGCTTATTAACCCGCGATTCCTCCTGGAAGTTCCTCCTTTAGATTCACTTTCTTGCACGCCACGAGGCGGGACGGAGACGTGACATTTGAAACACATTACAAGAGAATCAGATCAGATCGTCTGCCTGATGGCGCCGCAAAAAAAAAAAAAAAAAGTTTTGAATGTTTTAAATTAACCGCTACATCGCTGTCTGACTGTAACTAAGCATTCTGTGTTATCGTACCCTTTGGAGGAAATTTTAAGGAACCCTAAAGCAGCTATTTAAAGGGATTCTGTCGTCTGGTTTGAGGCAGTTTGAAGGATTCATTTAGGAAGTAGCCCCGCCCCTAACCCTCCCTTGGTTTATGGTCTATCTGACTCTAATTGGGACGTACATATTGAGTATTCCGAGAATGGTGGAGACCAAAACAGAGCTGCAAACTGAGCTTACATTATTGACATTTTATTTCTCATTATTAATCTTCTTTAATGCTTTTTTAAAATCCTTAAACGGCCCCAGAAATAATCATCCAATATTGTAAATCTTATAACTCGTCGTATCTGAAGCATCGTGACCTCAGATGACCTTGAGTGCTTCCTGCGGTCGTCTGTAGAGCTCTATGAAATCATATCCCTGTGTGTGTGTCCTCTGCAGCGTGCAAACTGAAAATCCTCTTAATTGCTTCACCTTCAGGCCGGCCGGCTCGTCTCTGTGCCCCCCAGCAGAGAGGACGCTACAGCGGCTTCGATAGTCTGCCGTCAGCAGCGCGAACGTCTCTGCGAGGGGGGAGGAAGGGGGCCAGTGTGATGGTCTGCATGGACGCCCTGTTGGTTAAGTGAGTCACATTAGCGTGTTGAATTGATAGAGCGCCGCTCGGCCCCTGCAGCTACCGCCCGGCCGCACAGCAAATTAAAGCCGTCATAAAGATTTCACAGAGAGGCTGTGAGAGCGAGAGAGATGTGTGAAGCCTCCGAGTGTCCTTCAGAGGCTCAGACGACTTTATTTCCTCCACTTCAGCAGTAAAAAAAAATGTTGTTCTTACTCTGTTTACTCAAGTTTTTCTAATACACAGAAGAAAAAAAAACACCTGAACTCCTAAAACAGAGGCTGGACAGGAACTAAACAAGTAAACTAAAACGCCTCCTAAAGGGCTCTTTGACAGTTTGGAGACGTGGTCACTATAGAAACATACGGACAGAAAGATAGATTTTTAAAATGCAGGTTCATTAAAGAATGAACTGAGAGCGGCGACAGCACTCGAAGCACCAGAGATACACTTTGCTTGTTAGGCATCAGCAGACAGCTCCACCCCTGCCTCCTCCCCCGCCTCCTCCTCCACCTGCCCGTCAGTCCATCAGCTCCCGCTCTCTCTAATCCCGAGGCCGTGGGGTGTGAAATTCAACATCAGCCCTGAGCGCGCTCTCGGGGAGATAGCGGAGGACTCGGCCCTGACGAGGCCGAGGTGAGCGGAGATAACCATCTGTTGTGCTCAGCGAGGCCGCTGATGCAGAGAGGGAAAGATGGAGGAGGGTCGCTGAGGGCGAGGGAGGGGGGGGGGGGGGGGGGGGGCTGGGATATCTCAGTATGAACTTCTGAGATCTTAAGAAAAATTTCAGGGAAAAGAAGAATATCACGACGACCTGCCGTCATGTCTGCGGGGAGAACAACTGGGCTGCAGAAACACGGCTCAGAGGTTAACATAGAGCTCTATGGGGACTGACTCACTGCAGGAGACAGACTCTAGTGGACACTGGAGGAACTGCAGGTTTACTACATTTTGAAGCCCTTGAAGTTGGTTGCTGCTTGGTCAAAAGCTTGTTACCGCTTTCATTTAGGGGAATTTTTAACCCCTTGCACTTCCAGAAAACAGCCCTGAGTATCGTTTCTTTCCTTCAAGTCATTTGTAGAAGAGATATTCTCGCTATTAGATGATGTTCTCTCTAATGAGAAACATCCCCGCTCCGCTGCTCCCTCCTCCTCTCAGTCCCAGAGCATTCAGCAGGTAGTCAGCAGCAATTTTCAGGCCCAGGAGGCGCGGGCTACCTGTGGTAGCGTTAAATGAAAATGAGAGAGAGTGCCAGGAGAAGAGGGAGGGAGGGGAATAAACTGATGAAGTTACTCTAAACAGACAGAAGAGAGGACCACTGGTGGTCGGGGAAATATGAGGTAGAGCTGCACATATTAGCGTCACATTTAGAAATCCATAAAGGTCTTTGTGCACTAAAACACGGCCGATGTTTGACTGCAGCATCTTTGTTTAATCTGCAGCCGTCCCTTCATCATTTCTGTGCTCAGTCCTGATGAATTATTTCTTGACGCCGTGACACCTGACAGGTGAGTTTGACTCGTGTAAATACCTTTCTCTTTAATAGCGACGGGCGGGATGATCGTCTGTCACACATCCTGATTTCATCTGAAAACTCGGAGAGGAGAGAAGATACAGATCTCACCTGAAATGTGCTTCAATTAAAAGTCAGTGTTGGTTCAACAGGAGGCTCCTCCTCACCTGTCTGAGCGTGTGTGTGTGTGTGTGTGTGTGTGTGTGTGTGTGTGTGTGTGTGTGTGTGTGTGTGTGTGTGTGTGTGTGTGTGTGTGTGTGTGTGTGTGTGTGTGTGTGTGTGAAGGTTTCAGAGGGGAGTCGGGTTATCAGCAGAGCTTCAGGGGGAGGAGAGAGGAGGGGTCTGTATCAGCTCCTCCACATCACAGAGCAGACAGACACAGATCTTTAAAGCGCACACACGCACACGCACACACACACACACACACACACACACACACACACACGCCCCTGAGTGGCGGCGGCAGCAGGGCGTCCTCGCCTCACAGAGCACATCGGCTTATAGCTCGTCTGAAATTCACTTTTGCTCCCAGTAGATTAAACTCACACTTCACTTCATCTCACAACACACCGCTTAGCAGGGACGATGACGGGCTCCTCCTTGCCGTGCATGCAAATAACACCCCCCCCCACCACCACCACCAAAAAACAACAACAACGCCCACTTAATGTTTGTAAACGTTCACGTGTTCACAAGGAGCTTATTAGAAACATGCAGAGGCTTTTTAGGTCGGGTACAATCACTTCTATCTGAACCACTTCTCTTGACCGCTTCCATCGCTGCAACACCTGTTGACCTGATAACTGCTCTCATATCTGACAAACCGAGGGGCGTCCAAAACGGCCGTGTGGGGGGGTGCCTTAAAACCGCCTAGCTTCTCTGGTCCAAACAAATCCAGAGCATTCAGGAGCAGAATCTAAAGTTAGAAGGAGGACATACTGGCTGCTGCATTGTTGTCAGAGAAGCCAGCACTTCAACATAGCATGTTTCCTTAATGATCAGATAGTAAGATACCTTTATCATCTCACATCTCACTGATTGGACCTTTAAGGGACTAAATCTGGACTTTAACGAGACATTCTGGTTCAAAGAAATCATTCCTGCTCAATAACTGAACTTCTTTATTGGATGGTTTCAGTGTCAGATACTCGGCAGGTAAATAAAGGAACAACAAACGTTTAGCAGCCTCTCCTTCTCTCATGTCTATAACATCCAGAATAAATCTTTAAAAATGAATCGTTTGTTTGTGTTTGATCGGATGTTTTCTGCTCTCACGATCAGAAATAGAATAAAAAGACCTGACTTATGTGTGAGAGTGGATTTACAACCTGAGAATCCTGCATCATTAACACTCTAAATCTATCCTCTTCTTCTCTTTCCTCCATGAAGTGTGTCAGAAAGTTACCCGAGGATTCATTCTTCCATGAAACAAAATCAACAGAGACTAAAATTAAAAACATAGAGCCACAGAAGACGCAAATAAACGAGAAGCTAAGTGAGCAAAACTCAGAGCCTGGAACACAAAGTCAGGACGGAACAACCTCTGTCCCTGCAGCAATCACTCTCTCTCTCTCTCTCTCTCTCTCTCTCTCTCTCTGTGTGTGTGTCTGCCCCACTCTCTGACTGTCAGGTGTCAGGACGCGGCGGCGGCGAGTGCACGAGTACCTTTGCGCTCAGAACGCTTCTTCCTCCTTCTCTTGAAGCGGCGGCGGATCAGACAGCTGTAAGCGGCCGCAGAGCGAGAGACGTCCAGCAGCAGAGTCATGATGGAGACGACGAGCGGATAATTCACCCCTTCAGCTCGCCTGCAGGCTCCAACACTAAGAGACTACTGAGAGCGAGCGTGTCTGTGTAACTTTGTACAGAGGAGGAGGAGGAGGAGGAGGAGGAGGAGGAGGAGCAGAGAGCTGTGGTAAACAGTCTCCTCCCTCCTCTCTCTCCTCTTTTAAAATCTGAGCTCTGACTGAATCTTTAAAAATATAAAAAATGACCTTTGAAATGTTCCTCCATCGCGCACAAACTAAGAGGTCAAAGGGCAGTCAGAGCGCTAAGGGGCAAAAATGTTGTGGGGCTGTTTATTCCTTATTTTAGAGATAGGAAGTGGAGAGAGAGAGAGAGAGAGAGAGAGAGAGAGAGAGAGAGAGAGAGAGAGAGAGAGAGAGAACGATGCAGGAAAGGAGCCACAGGTTGGATTTGAACCCAGGCTGCCTGCTTGGAGGATATAACCTAAACTCTGCACGTTACACTAAAGAGAGGAACTTTATTAATCAAATATAAATATAAATATCATGTGTCAGCGGTAAATTCTCCTCCTCCTGTTTGTCAAACTTTAAAGACAGGAAGCTAAAAAATAATAAAGTCAGCGTGACTTCATGTCTGATAAGAAATCTGGATATTTAAAATCAAGATTATTATTATTTCACCTTTATGTGAAGGTGTGAACTTGAACTTAAAGGCAGCACTGACCCCTGGTGGCTGACAGAGGAAGTACACTCTCACAGCTGAGCAGACACATTAAAGTGATGATGAGCAGATTTTGTTTGACAATCCCGTCGAGGAAGACGACATGGGGGAACAGGTGAACACACACCTCCCTCCACGAGGATCTTTTCAAAATAAAAGCTTAACTCAGCTGACAGACAGAAGAGCAGATCTTCTTCTCCAAACAGATAAAAAAATAAACCTGCACGACCACACACACAAACTCCTGTTCAGTAACAGGCTCTGAACTGGGTGTGTCCAGACTCTCTGGACTCTCTTCATCTTTTTTCAGGGTTTCACTTTTGCAGAATGTCACAACAACCATTTTATCTCAACAAGCATCGAGAAAACGGATCGATGTACCTTTACAGATCTGAAATCATGAAACACTCGTCTCGTCTTTGAAGCCCGAACAACAACAACAACGACGACGACTCCGAAAAAGTGAGGTTTGCTGCAGACATCAGCTTTATAACCACGAGAGGAAATGTTGTTCGATCAGCTCAGGTAGGATTTGTTGGTCGTTAAATGAAGTTACCGTTCATTCAAAGTGTCTCAGAATCGTCTGCAGGTTTTTTCTGCTGCAGCAAAAAGTCTGAAACTGAAACTTCTGATGAAAGAGACAGAAATTATCTCCTTTTAAGATTTTCCTGCAACAAAATTTAACTTCATAACTCTCCAAAAAGAGACCAATCAGAGGAGGAGAACAGGTGTAGCCCCTGAGGTGTAATGCTGTATTCAGCCCACAAGGTGGTGCTGTTTACCTTTGTTTGAACAGCGAGCACATCTTTCTATCGAGTCAGAGATATCAAACTCAAGAAGCTGCAGAGAGAGAGAGACGCGCTCATTATCACGACCTGGAAATAATTCAATCCATCAAAAATACTAAACATGTCGGTGAGGGAACGACTTGATGATGTCACGGTGATGTCATCATCGTTATCTCTCCTCTGAGACGTCATGATGAAGGGAAACGTTTTTAGGAGTTTGCATGTCATTTGATTATGTAGAGGGTCGTGGAGTGAATGTTGCATGATGGGAAATGTAGTGCGTGATTCGTCTTGCGTCAAAGTCTTTGCAGAGGCAGGATAAAGTGAACTGACCTGTTCGAGCGCCGTCGTCAGGAGAGCGTCTGCGAGGACTTGACGAGACGGATCTGAAAGACACAAAGACACGACGGTTACTTTCATGTTTGAATATTGATATACATTTTTATTTAACCAGGAGAGAACATCTGCAGCCAGATGTGGACGCCTCCAAGTCGTTGAGAGCAGCTCGTTAAGTCTCAGCTCTGCTTTGTGATTGGTTCAGAGTAAAGGGAGCAGCAAACTGAAACACCTTTTTCTCCGGTTCAGTTCTTTTGGAACAGACGGTAAGAAAAGGTCCTGAGACTGAAGATGATAAGTCCCTGTTCTCGTCTGGATGATGGAGGTCAGAGGTCATGAAGGAAGCTGACCTCAGATAGACTTTAAACAGGTGCAGACAACAAACAGGGAAGAGTGATGAACCTGAGAGGTCACTGATGCTCGGGGTGCAGAGCGTCCATATTTACAGACGACCATCGTTTCACATCTCAGGCCTCGACGTGGTGAACTTAATTTAATCTGAACAGCTTCCTTATAAAAAATAAAGTCCTTAAAATAATTAACTTAACAACGTCTAAGTGTGCAGCACGTTCACTAAAACAACAAATCTTCTTTTTCATGAAAGCCTCAAAGATTTAGTCTTGTTATCGTTTGTTGAGAGATGTTTAGGAGGATGATTGTGATTAAAAAAAACACAAACTAAGAGAAGGAGAAATAACCAAGATTTTCAAAGTAAAAGCAGCCCTAAATGTGTAAGAAGCATCATGAATCATCCTCAGAGCTGCACAGCGACCTTAAAATACCTCCAAAAAAACCCAACAGGGATGATTTTATCTTCTGCAGTTGCAAAAAAAACAAAAAAACCTGCTCAGATAAATTCAGACTCCTTGTTAGTGAATCTCTGAGCGGTGTTCGCCGTCAGCATCAGGAAGTCAAACATTAGTGTGACGGAGAAGAAGAGCCCGAGCGCAGGAAGGAGGATGTATGATTTATTTCTTTTTTGAAATCCCTGCACACACACAGACGGATGAGGAGCGAACACGAGGAGGGGGATGTCTGCAGCCTACTTTCAAACATTTACATATTTTGCAGAGAGAGAGAGAGAGAGAGGGGGGAGTGATGAGATGTGAGGGGGAGAGAGGGAGGAGGGAGGGGAAGGGGGGGGCGCAGGGGTCTGACAAGGACAAGAGAGGATGCTGAGAAACAGAAAGTCAGCACTTTAAAGACCCTTCAGGGTCGATGTGAGAATCCACCAGACAAAACCTCCCTCTGAAAACGAGCGATTTTAGACGAGCTCCTCTTCAGCGGGACTCTCAGAGGATTTCTTACTCTGTGACATTTGTGTGTTGTAAATGTTTGACGTAAAGAAGATGCAGCTCAGGAGGGGGGGGGCTGCAGAGCTAGTGGGGGGGGGGGTGAGGGGGCTTTCCTCCCTCCTCCCCTCTGCATCTCATGCGTTTGCTTTAATCGCCCTCAGATGAGGCAGATGTGACGGGACGGAGGAGAGAGAGCCTGCAGCGAGGAAACCACACACACACACACACACACACACACACACACACACACACACACACACACACACACACACACACACACACACACACACACACACACACACACACACACACACACACACACACACACACACACACACACACACACACACACACACACACACACACACACACACACACAGCTGCAGAGGAGGTGTTATTCAGACCTTGCAGGGGTGTGTGTTCCCGCTTCAGCGTGTTAGCGTCACCTTTACGACTCCTTCACCTTCTACACGAGGACACAAAGTGCTGTAACTTCTCTTAAAGGGACACTACACCTATTTTTACCTTCTGCAACTCTATATTTAAATTTAAAAAAAAAGGGGAATAAGGGGGTGGGGGGCTGGAGAGATTTTCAAGATAGTTTGTTGACATTTATTTTGGATTCTTTGACTTGAAATCAAACTCTGTCGCCTTCACAAGCTCGCCAGGTAGAATGTGTATAAATGTGGATGAAGTTTTCTACAGCTGATTATCTCCAAAGGAACAAAGAAGAACATTTGCAAACAGAGACAGAAAACATCGTCCTCCTCTCGTGGTCGTCGTCTTCTGAGAAATAGCCGTCAGTCAGTGGATTTATTTTAACGGCTGAGAGTTCTCCTGATCTCCACTCTCAGGGAGCCTCTTCTGACTCTGTTCGAGTGTTTGGAGGTGAAATCGAGAAGGTCATTCCTCCGGTCTGCAGAGCACCTGTGGGCGCATTGTGCCACAGATGAAACAAGTAAAAAAAAAAAAACATGATTCTGCAGTGATGATTTCCTACAAGGAAACTTTGTGTTTCTTGCAGGATGACTGAGCGCTCAGGGTTTCCTTCAAAATAAAAGCGTCCTTATCAGCCTCGTCTCTGGTGTCGGAGCTTTTATCTCGACTGAACGAGTCCCCCGAGTGTTGTTGAATTACGGCGGCGCAGGGGCCGTTCGATTGGCTGTCTCTTCCGGTGCGGTGAAACGTCCGTCACACACACTCACACACACACACACACACACACACACACACACACACACACACACACACACACACACACGCCAACAGTTTGTCATTTACCCTCACATTCTCACTCGCCTTTTGTATTGACATCGAGGTGAAACCTGAGGACGCAGGCCCCCCGGGGGGACACTCTGCTGCGGGAAAGGGTCACACACATATGACCTTCAACGACACCGAACACACACTGTGATCCCATTCAAACCTGCAGCTTCCTTTTTGTTTTTTGTGGAGAAGAAACTTGAAACTTTTGATGTTTGTGCATGTTGGTTTTTTTCTCTTTTTGATTTAACTTGAAAATCCGAAATGAAAATAATGCGATGGACATTCTGACGTTGTTTTTACAGGTCGTGAGGATCTGAAGAAAGCCGTCAGCTGATCGTGTTCGTTTGTGATTTTTAGGGATGTGAAGCTCGTGGAGATTTTTCAGGAAACGACGTCACAGGACGTTAAAACACAAATGCATGTACTGGTGACCTTCACTCCTGACGCAGAGGTCAAAGGTTGAGCGGTAAAAATGTGAACTCAGATCTCAGCGAGTTTGTTTTTGTCTTCTTTCGTCACTCTCTGGTGCGTTCACAGTCTGCTGGGATATGACAGCGACCTGCAGCAGCTTCCTGGAGGATCCATCATGCAGACGCGACCTGATTCGGCCTCGATGTCGTGCTCATGCAGCCGCGGCCTGGAGGTGGATGTTCCCGTGTGGATTCACACGCAGAGGGGTTAACTGAGGACGCCGCCTCTCGCCGCAGAGCTGACCCCGGTTCTTACTAAGATCACTGCTGACAGGATGACCACACGAGGGCAGGGAGGCAGCTTTCACACACGGCGTTCTTTCTTTTTACAGATGGGATCTGTCCGCGGTGAAAAAAAGGATTCTCCTCCGAAGTGTCGTGTTCTGATTCAAGGTGGAGATGAAGTGGCGTTCAAAGTCTGAGCATTGAAAACGAGACGATAAATCAGATTTAAATCTCAAATCTAATTTTGTGTTTGTGGAGCGACGTCAGAGAGGATCTCATCACCGACTCTGTTTCCAACGCTTTTCAGGGGGGGGGGGGGTGTCAGACAGGGGCCACGCTGTGACAGGAGGGGAGGGGGGGGGGGTGACTGACCCCTGGGTGCTGCTGCTGCTGCAGGGAGACAAGGTGACTCAGAACGAGACGATGATGAGTCGCTTTTCCTGCAGCGTCATCACTTACAGCTGCTGTTTGATTAGAGGACGTGATGCATTCAAGGTTCTGTTTCTTCATCTGTAAGAACGCGGTGAGAAGAACCTCACACAGTCTTTAAGGACTTTTAATGTCAGCAAACATATTTTAACTCTGGTTTACCAATCACTCATTGAATCCATCCTCACTTTTAACATCTCATCCTGGTCCAACTCCCTCACCACCAAACTCTCCCGCATCGTTAATCAGGCCAGCAAAATTATCGGTTCACCACAAACTACCCTCTCTGAACTGTATAACTGGGGAGGACCCCTCTCACCCCCTCCACCACTCCTTCCAGTTCCCGCCATCAGGCAGACGCTACAAAGTCTGGCCCGGAAAATCATCTACAAAAAATCCTTTATTCCCTCTGCAATAACCATTCTGAACAAAATCAAATAGACCCCCCTTTTTAGAAACTGTTGTTTTTAAGTCCTCTGCACTCTGTTTTTAATGTAAGTTGTGTTTATTGTTCAAGAATTGTCGAAGGAGAATTTCTGTCTCTGTTGGGACAGACAATAAAGTATATCTATCTATCGATCTAAAAAAACAAAGGATGATTTTAGACTCGTCCTCAGAACCGTTTTCCTCCTTCATGAAGCAGATTTGAAATCCCTTCAGGAGCTCTGCTCGCCTGCACAACATTTACCCAGACAAACAAACACTTAATGCTGAATCAAAGATCGAATCATGAGCTGTTTTCTGGCGTCAGCTGAGTCAGGTATGAGGAATCAGGGCCTGTCGTGACTCTCGTTTAGAACTTTAAAAAGGTACAAGTTTAGGACTGCAGCTTGCACCTTTTCTTTTCTCTCCTTTGGTATTTAAACTTTAAAGACAACAAGACAAAGTGTGCACACATGTCCAGATCTGTGCTCTTATCACAGGTATCATAAACACTCCTGACTCACACACAATGTCTGTGTTCAAATCAAAACAACCCTCCACACCTGAGCCTGAAGGCATCACAGAGCAGGTGAACCACACACATCTGATGAGCCTCGTCTTCATCAGAGAGAGAGAGAGAGAGAGAGAGAGAGATGAAATATTAAAGATGCTCGGCTCGGAGCGACACCACACAGGAAGACAGATATCGCTGAGTGCAGAGAGGATTCTGGGAAGGACGCCCGTCAGCGTCTCAGAATCTGACGCGGCAGAAGTCAGACGGAGTATCGACGGAGACGAGGAGCTGCAGAGATTCACACGCCGGGCGCTCGATATGTTTCATCATGCTGATGTTTCAGTTGGAGGAGATGTTCAAGCAGAGCCGCAGAACTCTTCGATGTTTTTCGATCAGAAGAAGAAGCGTCCGATTCACATCTTCAGGAAGACGTAAAGAAACACATTTGTTTCTCACCTGAGCAGGTGTGACTCCAGCCTGTTTTCATGAGAGCAGCTGCTACCATCTGTCAGAGAATTTCACAATCCAGCCAGCAGACGTTCTGACTCATCTCTTAAAGGACGAAACATGACTCAGCTTTTTTAACGAGCTTAACAACAAAGTGAAACCACTCCCGCCGCCATCATGAACCTCCTCCAGACGTCCCGCCTCTTGTCCTCCGTCATGTCTCCGAGATGAGGACACTTCCTGTCTGTCCAGCCGTCGCCGCGGGATACGGCTGTCATTAAGATAAAAGAGGAGAGCTTGTTCGTCCCCGGGCATCTCGACCATCGGCTCACGCTCTGAGGCCGAGACGGAGGTGTGAAAGAGAGGTCACTTCCTGTTTTTGTGGATGAAGTCTGGTGACTTTCTCTCCCTCTCTGACAAGAAGGAAACAGATTTTATTTAACCACAAACACACCAGACTCATTGCTCTGCGTCCATTGGTCGGTTTCTTTGTGTTTCATGGAATAAACATAAAAGTTCCAGCTTTTCTTCTGACTTCAAATAAAAGACTCAGGCTGGATCAGGGGAGACACACGGGGTTAATCTTGAAGAACCTTCATTGTGTAAAAGAGGATTCAGACGTCTGAAAAACGCTCAGACCACCCGGCTAATCCCCCGAGAGAGGAGCCACGGCGCTCGACCCGAGGTTAAGTCTGAGATCTAACGGAGAGACGAGTACAGAGACGGTAGAAGACATGTGAATCCTGTTTGATCCTTTTATACCTGCTCGTCTGTCACAGAGACGCTCTCATGGTTTATCGCTGCTGGTTTCAAGCCGACATTCAAAAAAGAAGATGAAAATAATCTAAAAATGTCAAACAGAGCTCAGAGTTGGTTAAATTCTGTGTTCTGCTAAAGTCCCGCCTCCTCTTCTCCTTCATATCGTCACCGTTTGAGTCACACTAACTGATTTTAAATACTCATGCATGAAGAGAACATGAGTCTGTCCTCCGCCTTTTTACTTCTATTTCCGTGCATGTAGGCTAAGTGGGAGACACGAGCGAGCCCGCAGCGAGTCGAGGCGAAGCCGTGCAGGGGCCAGAAGTAATCGCAGCACAAATGAATTTACAGAAAAGGCGTTCAGCTGCAGCCGAGGGCGTTTTGTTCCCTCGCTCTGCTGATCTGTCTCCATAACACAAGATTTTAATGAACTCAGTGCGATACCGACCTCTCTCAAAGAAGAGCAGGATTAAGCTCTTATTCTGAAAGAGTCAAAGCGTAAAGAGTCAACAGACCGATCCCAACGAGGACAAATTCAGGTTTTTATTTTAGTAAATTATGCTTCTTATTCTTCATCGGACGCGTAGAAACAGCTGGTCTGACTGAGGTTTTTAGTTTTAGCTTCTTGGTAATCGCCAGCTCTTTTCAGGGCCTATGAAGTTAGAAAGTTCATAGAGGAGTACCCCAGGGTTCACCTCTAGGCCTTTTAGTATTTCAAGTTGACCTCTTCTGCTGACCCCTTTTTTTTAAAACTTTCTGTTTGGTGTAAAAACAGCAAAGATGGCGGAGCGATGAGCTTCTTCACAGCGTTGTTGTTGTTGTTGAGATCTCTGTAGATATAAGACGCTTGCAGTAGCAGCTTCCACATCGTTTATATCAAAGTCCCTCTAACGCTGCCTCGTGCTTCTTATTGATTTTTACACACAGCGTCCATTAAGGCAAGGCCGACGCCGACTGTCACCACGAGAAGCTCAAACCAGAGCGAGTGAAGAGAAAACAAACGAGGGGGACGAACACTTCTTTCTTTCCACTTCATCATGATGTCATGTCTACGGAGGATTGTCCTGCAGAAACAGGAAGCAGAGCGAAAAAGGGGAACGCTTTCTGGGGCCCATCACACACGGAGGGTCCAGAGGCCTGCAGCCTGTGATCCTGAATCAGCTTTTAAAACAGAGTCATTAGACGCAAAGAAATACAGAAACAGTGAAACTACCAATAAGGACTTTCTAAACTCATAATAGTCTTTGGATTTTTGCTGCACTCGAGCTCAATAAGAGCTGAGAAACATTTAATTTCTAACATTTCTTCTGTCGTTATTGGCTGTGATGGAAATCTCCTAACACGTCTAAAATAAGCATCTTATTTTAACACCTGCAGTTTGAGTCCAGTTTGGGACCTCTGGTTCATCTTTTCAACCCATTAGGTTTTATATTTCATTTAAAATACTTTTTTTTTTTTATCACGGTACAGAAAAGTTCCTCTGCAGTGCATGAGTTATGAAAAAGTCAACTATTAATAATATTTTTTCTCTTAAATTATGACATTTCCACCTGACTATAAAAATCAGCCGTTTTTTCACAAGGTTTGGTTAAATGTGAACAAATCAGCTGATTTAGTCTAAATAGTAAAACATGTAAACACATGACTAAAAACAGAAATAACATTATTTATATATTTATTTTTTATATTTGAGATATTTCAGGATTTTATGATGTGCAGCAGATATTTCAGGAGTCGTGCTCTGCGCTTTCCCTCGCGATGAGAAGCTCACACCGAACGTCATTGAATAATCCACTATTTTAAGAAAACTCGGCTTTACACAGAAATAAAAACGTTATGGTTTAATTAAAAACAAATATCTAGTTAAAGTGGGTTGATCCTTCAATTCGGCATAGAAACAGAACACACAGCCGTAGTAGATCAAATAATAAACCAACAAACTGCTCAGTTTTCTTCAATCAGAATTCACCCGCTCGCGTTATAAGAGCAGCGGTATCCTCTTAACTAAGTTGTAATTAGACAAACAGAACAGCAGATTTCCACTTACAACAAACGCCGAATTAATGAGTGTACTTTGATTGTAATAATGTGTTGGTGTGCTCTTTCTTGAGCTCCGTATTTACAAGGTAAAGCGAACAACTCTTAAATAGACAGATTGCTAAATGGAGTCTTGACTGCAAGGACGAAGGACGCTGTAAATATGTGAACTCAGACAGAAAATAAAAAATTAATGAAAAGCGACCAATTAACGGGGACTCACGGTGAGCTGCTGCGTGAACCTGCTGTCAGTCTGAGGGTCCGAGGAGTCCACTAAACGTCCCCGGAGCCAGTGATGCTGCAGCGGCGTCAGAACTCCGCGGAGATCACGCTAATGGTGGTGCGGGGCTGTGCGGGGAGTGAGGGAGAGGGAGAGAGAGGGAGATTAAAAAAAAGAAAAGAAAAGAAGGAACCTCTGGGAGATGCGAGCCAGGAGAGGTCTTTCCTGACTGCTCTGAAATCTCTATACTCTGATTGGACAGGAGGGGAGAGGTGGGCGCAGAGAAATGAGGCCACACATTGGCGCATTACGCACGAGCACACACACACTGATTGGGCACAGAGGGGGGGTTATTCACCATGTGCAACACAAATACACACTGTACCTAACAATCAGAGAATGGAAATACAAAGATGCATAAAATATAATATATAAATAACATTTTAAATAACAAAAATCCTTCCTATTTTCCCGAAGTGTCCGTTTGTTTCTGTATTTTTTAAATATGAGTTTATAAGAATTAGTCACAGTCACAACAACACAAGAATTTATTTCACAGCTGTTTGTAATGATTCAGATCTCTGTGCTTTTCAGGTGAATTCTACGGAAGCTGATTAGGGCCAAAACATGCCTCTAATTATTTCTCAAATCAGCTTCCGTAATTTTGTATTCTGATGCTCTCAAAGTGACGCTCCTTTATTTATTCTTGTGAAGTAAAATATCTGTGAGGTGTCTGCATGGGACCGAGCTCAGGTGGACCCGAGCTCAGGTGGACCAGAGCTCCGCTGGACCCGAGCTCCGGTGGACCCGAGCTCAGGTGGACCAGAGCTCCGCTGGACCCAAGCTCAGGTGGACCCGAGCTCAGGTGGACCAGAGCGCCGCTGGACCCGAGCTCAGGTGGACTTCAGCTCTGTGACTCGAGCTCTAATTTAAGTCAGACAGGAAGTCCTGCAGTGACTACACTTCTGTTCAAACACTCACTACTGTTCAGATTCCTCTCCTCGTTACTCACAGGACAGGTATGTGTGTGTGACTTCACATTGTACGGTGGCCCGAGGGTGAAAACACATTTAAATGTAAAACATAAACTCAGAAACAGAATGACTCACCGTCTCCCTCTGAGTGAAACATAAGATGTCTTCAGTAGAAGTTTAGACTATATTTATTGAAAACTAGAAATATGGAGACCCAAAGAAAGGTAGCTACTGTCAGGTAAAAAGTTAAATATCAACAACTCCTGAGTCGTGTGAGGCTCAACCTGAGTCTTTCTGAATGAGTCTGGTGTCTCATTCCCCCAACAGGAACCTGTAGCAGTGACACCCGTGTGGCTCCGCAGTAATGAATCACTGTCTTTATTTCAATAAGTGGATGAAGCAGCTGCTGTGTGCAGAGTCAGAAATAACCTCTGAGGTTTGAGGATGAAAGCGAGAGCGCCCACACGCCGTTCATCAGAGCATTCAACAACGTGAGGGTCTCCATCAGGTCCTGTTTGATCTGACAGAGACCCCCCCCCAGTGGATTCACACACAGCGTTTGATGGTCTGATAAACGTGATGCTGGAGGATCGCGCAGAGAGCGGGCGGACATGTTTACATCCTCTGAGGACAGAGTCAGGAGAGAGAGCAGCGGATTGTTAAATACACTCAGGTGTTTGTTCATGAGGGGAGAAATATGCAGAAGTACACGTGCAGTTCTATAAATAGACTCTGAACATGAATATGAAGCAGCTTTCCATGAACAGAAACATCCGTTCATGTTTTCATTAAATCATCTCAACTCGTCTCCGGTCAGTGACCTCACATTATAAAATCCTCCAGTTTTATTCATTCTGTTAAGAAGGGTTCAAAGTTGAGGTACTATCACCATGGAGGCATCTATGGGGCGCCGATTGTAAAGTTGAGCACACTACAAAAACATTTCTCCTCATTTAGCCCTAAAACATCACTTTTTATTCAGAGAAATATTTGTGAACTTTGTCATATTTACTTTTATTAATAAAAATATAAGATAATTTCATTGGCAAATATAAATGTTGAATATTTTATCTCAATGTTGAATGTTTTATCTAAATGTTATATACAAGTGTTAAAAATACATTTCCTGATTCTAAATATTTAGCTTTGATCCTATATATTTAGGTACAATTGTAAATATTTATAATCAAAGTTAAATATATAGAACACAAACTCAATATTTAGCTAAGACACTAAATATTGAGCTTTGATTTTTTTCTAAATATTGAGCTTTGATTTCTAAATATTTAGAAAGCTAAATATTTCGAATATAAACTTAATATTTAGAATCAGGACATGTTTTTTACATTTATATATAACATTTAAATATAATATTTAACATTTATATTTGCCAATGAAATTATCTTATATTTTTATTCACAAAAGTAAATATGACAAAAGTTCACAAATATTTCTGTAAATGTGAATAAAAAGTGATTTTTTTGAGGGTTAAATGTGGAGAAATGTTGTTGTTGTTATTTGTAGAGTGTGCAACTTTACAATCGGCGCCCCATAGGCATCAGGTCAGGATGCAGGAATCCAACAAGACTTGAGTTTAGGGAACAAGTTTATTTCTTTTCAAGTAAAGTGAATCATAAGGGTAACAGAAGACACACACGGGAATGAACATCCACACTGAAAGACAAAATAAAATAATATTAGCATAATAAACAAGTCTAATTACTTTCTGAAAGGAAATAAAGATAAATAAAGTACTTAGGACAAATTAAAGTAGCCTAGATAGTAACTAAAATAGGAGTAAAAGCCACCTTACATTGCTGAGCTGCCACCCCATGTGAGGATGAAAACATCAGTGTAAGGGAGTGCAGTCTTAAATAAGGAGTAGGCAGGTGAATTCAATCTAATTAATTAGTGACTGAGTGCAAAAAACAACCAATCAAGAGAAGAGAGGAGAGAGTGAGAAACCAGGAAGTGTACTGAAGGAGGTGCAGTAGGAAAAGAGAGGAAGTGAAAGGAAACAGAAATAATAGAGAGCAGGATGGTCGTTAATCAGACCTGTTTTTTTTTTTTTTTTAAACCAGGCTGTAAACATGTTCATCTCTGCTGTAAAAACAGGCTTTTTAGAATGGGTGTGTAAGTGACTTCCTGTGCTTCTGCAGCCAGCCTCTAGTGGACACTCGAGGAACTGCAGGATGTTACACTTCAGCATCGGTTCAACACTGGTTGAACCGAGGTTGACGCTTGGTTTGAATCCGACCTCAGCCCTTTGCTGCATTTCACCCCCCACTTTCATAAAACATGTTCTGAATAATCCAGCTCCATGTATCGCCCCCTACTGGCCTGGAGGACTTTTGTCTTATAGCCTCTTTCTGTTGTGCCTCGTGTACCCAAAAAAACACGATTATCCAAAATAATGCAAAACAAGCGAAAGGACAAATGTTCTACCATCTTGTTTTTGCTGCAGCCAGAAGTGACCATATAAGGACTGGGGGGGAGGAGCTAAAATGGAGGGAGCGGTTAAGAAGGTGCATCTCACAAAAAAACTAAACATTCAACTTCTTAAAGTGTCTTCTAAACAGAAAAAGGTAATTTTCTTTGCGACTTGTCAATCACACTTAGCCCCGCCCCCTAACTCCTCCCTTCTTTCTTGTCTATTTGACTCTTAACAGGACTATACTTTACTAAATGAACATCCTGCCGTGTGGAGGAATACCTGCAATGTTGACTGAGGGAATAAGTCAGGTGTGGACAGGTGGACGACCTCCTCCTTTCGCAACGTTCAGGAGACTTGTTGCAGCTTGGCTCTTTAATCCACTTCCTGCCACTGTTTTTTTGTTTTTTTTTCTCCCATCATCCTCTTCTGTCACCGAGTATCAGCCGGTGAAGAGGCAGGAATGTGGGACGACTAAACGACACAACAGCAGGTAAAGGTGTGTCCTCACCTGTGTGTGTCAGAGATAAAAGGGACAGAATAATGTGGAAGGTTTCTAACGATGAGCTCTGATTACTTTTCCCTCACAGTGAATTATTAATGAGTCCTAATGGGCCGCCGCCGCCGCCGCAGCTCAGATCCGTGTATTGATTGGGTTTTTCTTACCTCTAATCTAATCATAGAAAAGGTTTGAGCAGAGAGAGAGAGAGGGGGGGGATCGTTTGCTTTATCTCTAACAGATCTTCTTACATGTTTTAGAGCTGATGAGTTCACACCGCAGACAATTTGAAGCCAAGAGATTGGAGCTCTGGTGGACGCCATCTTCGTTCTTTAGAAGCCAGAAGTCACAACGAGGTGGCTCCGACTTCTCAGAACTGTTATCAGACTTCTATGGAGTCACTCCTCAAATGCAGAATAAAGATGCAGTTTGTCAGCATTTCCATTCATCCCAGAGTCTCCGTGTTGCCCCCCCCCCCCAACCAGGACAAGACGCCGGTCTACACGGATCATCGGAGGCGTTGCCTTGGTTACCGCTGATGAGTCACAAGCGTGTTTTGTAGCTGATCTTCGGTCTGATGAGAAGATAGTGAAAATTGGTCGAGTGGAACGTCTCAGTGTGGCTGTGGGTGGAAAGGACGCAGCTTTGTTTTCATTCTTACAGGGTTTGGATTGAAAAAAGGACGACAACAGGAAACACTCGATGATTCAACTTCCTGTGTTTTATTTTGGCGAGGAAATCAAGATAACGATTAAATACGTCACAGTCAACATTTAGAAAAACTACACTCTGTGTCTCAGATCAGTCAGCTGCGACAGACGTACTCGAGAATAAATAAAAACCAAACGAGCTCGGGTTTTAAAAATACATTTACTTTATTTGAACCTCGGTGGAAACCTGAGTCTCTGTCGGAGTCGAGTCGTCGCCGTTAGCTCGGCCCTTGCTCCTCTTCCTGCCTCATCCTCTTCCTCAGCTGCTCCCCGATGTCGGCCAGAGGATTCATTTTGGCCGAGAGCGTCTTGACGGCGTCGCTGAACCGGCTCGTCTCCGCTTCTCTGCGATCAGAGTGGGAGAAAACAAACGTTCAGACGCGTCATATTTGCAGGATGTTGACGTTTGCATGCAGAAGAAGAAGAAAGTTAGATGCTCACAGGAGTTTGCGTTTGTGTGACTGTTTCATCTGACTGAAGTCTGTGGGCTCGGGTCTCTTCACGGGGCTGCGGGGACGAGACACAAACACGTGACCACGAGGCCTTCACAATAAGAGCTCAGTGAAATCTGACGCCACAAACACTCACACTTTGTTCTTCCTGCTCTTGCGGCGAGCAGCGGGGGCCGTGGCGGCGGTGGGAGCGATGAGCTGAGAGAGCTCCGGCAGAGCGTCGGCCAGCGGCCTCATGTCGCCCACCACGGGCGTGGCTTGGCGGCGAGCCTCGGCCGCCTGGCGCTCCTTGGCCTGTTTGATGGAGCTGATCTCTGAGAGGGGGAGGAAGAGAGAGAGAGGGCGCCGTCAGAGGAAACACGACTTGACTTATTAATCACTTCTGTAGAAACTAAGCTCAGCCGTCATCACGTCTTTGTGCGTCCATATTGATTCTGCGATGGCGTCCGAGTCTGAGTTTTGGCGTTGCAGAAGCATCTGAACACAGCAACAGACGAACGCTTTGTTGCAGCTCTGCAAACATTCCCTCGGCCTTTTAAACGAGCTTGGAAGTTTTTTCTTCCACGCCGCCCCAGAGAGAGAGAGAGAGAGAGCTGTTAAAACCGCCGTCAAACATCGTGTTTTCCACCGCAGCTCGCTCGCGTCGTCCTCTCCGCGTCCGCGATCCCATTAGATCTAATCTCGCTCTCGTTTTTTCTTCTGATTCCTGCAAAGTGTCGGCCGTGTGGAGCCGCTCTCTGGTTTCAGCGGGCGCCATTAGCTCCTAATTATCCCTCGAGCAGGATCTGAGTCGTGTTACTCAGGAGACCCATCGACTCGGCGCCTCGGAGTTCGGTTTCAGAGCCGGTCGCTACAAAAGGAGACGAGTTGGAATCACAGACGGCCGAGAACATCGCGTTGGGGGGGGGGTTAAACGTCATAATTAACCCTGCAGCTTCACTAAGCTCCTCCATGTTTCTCTCTCTGGCCACAGCTGAGGGTCCATCATCCGGCCCACCTCCTCACATTCTGACGGCACGGCGATGTTTGTCTTTCCAACGTGATCGAAATTGTTTAAAGAATCGATTTCCTTTTTTGATGTTAATGAAACAATCGATTCATGAAATATAAAAGTGGACAGAATCACAACTCACTGTGGAGCCATCGATCCCTCCTCTCCTTCATCTTCTCCTTCTTTGACTTCAGCTTCCTCTCCTCTGGACCTGTGAACACACACGCGCACACACACACACACACACACACACACACACACACACACACACACACACACACACACACACACACACACACACACACACACACACACACACACACACACACACACACACATTAAATACACAGAGGCACAAACAGATCCTGCAGCTCTACCTCCAGAGAACAGAATAAGCCCCGCCCCCCTTTAAAGGAGATGTTGGATTCATGATGAACTGATTAAACGGAGCGCGTTCACCAGCGCTGAGAACAACAGAGATATCTCCACGTATCCCCTGACCCTGATATTCATCACGCGGCGTGTTCCGACAGGCGCTTTTATCCGACTCGTCTTCATCTGTCATCACAAACAGACGAGAACACGCAGAGATAGAAATCTGCTGCTGGAGACTCTCATGTGGGCCGAGGAGCAGGAACATGATCTCTATGGTGTGGGGGGGGTGTCTTAACCACCGCTGTGCTCCCGACGGTGGCATCGTCTTCCTGCTGGCGGCTGAAATGGAGATCTGTGGTTACCCCCGCCCCCCTCATCCTCCCAGACTTCCTGCACACCTTCAGTATAAACGATAAAGGGGGGGTCAGGGGAGAGGGGGGGCGACGTGCAGCAAAAGGGGCCGAGGTCGCCCCGCGGTGGCTGCAACGATTCTGTTCATCCATCCCGATATTTGGCGCCTCTCAGATTTCTATTCTTGTTGCCGTGGTAACCAACAAACACCCGGTATCGTTTGATTTCTACGAGATCATATCTAAAAAGCTTTAAATTTCTGCTATGTTGACAAAAAAAAAAAAATGTAAGGGGAGGAGCCGGCCGTCCCGTCCATGTGAACACGGCGCCGACAACAACAACAACAACATGAATAAAGTGATATCTCTCTTTGTGTCATTAGTGTTTGAATAAAGACGGTGTGTGTCGTCCTTCAGTGTAAAGACCCCCCTCCCCCCCCCGCTCCATCTAATCAGAGGTATGGTTTCACAACCAGACCCCCGAGGACAGACCCTGTCTCCTCTTCACGCTGAGGTCAGCTCCCTGAGGACCGCCCCCCCCCTCCTCCTCCTCCTCCTCCTCCTCCTCCTCCTCTCTCTCTGATGACCATTTCTTCATCATGTCAGGCAGACCATCATCATCATCATCATCTCTCTCTCTCTCTCGTGAAGTCTTTCTAGTTTTCGACCCGTCTCTTTCTCTGCAGAGCTGTCGTCTTTCCTCTTCATCATAATAAAGCAAGCAGCAGAGCGTGCAGAGAGGGAGCTGATGATGATGATGATGATGATGATGATGATGTGCATGAGGAGCTGGTGATGATGAAGAGATGAAAATGGGCTCTGGGTGAGAAACTGAAGAGTTATGAAGAGGCGGGGGGGGGGGGGGCTGGATTGAGTTTGCAAAAGCCGTCAAAGCAGAGAATTGTTTTTGATATTCAGCCGCTCTTCCCGCCTCCGTCCATCCCTCTCCTCTTGAGCTGCTGAGACCCTCACCCACGCATCCATCACTTACACACTGCACCATCAAGAAACTACGATATATCCCAGAATCCTGCAGCTCGTCTTCTCACACACTCCTGCACTTGGGACCGCATCACCCCCGTCCTTAATGACCTCCACAGGCCCCCCCCACCCTGTCCATATGGAAAACCTACAGACCCCCCCCCCCCACTCTCACTCTACATCTCCTACAACCACTAACACACTCTCTTCTCCTGCAGCTTTCATTGGTTTCCTTTAATGAAACGTTGTGTTGTTATGAGCTCATTAAAGAGAGCAGGATGAGAAGAAGTCATCAGAGCGAGGCAGCAGCAGCAGCAGCAGCAGCAGCAGCAGCAGCAGCAGCAGCAGCAGCAGCAGCAGCATCCTCGGTGTCCTCCAGCTGCAGAGCGGGGACTCTGCTGCAGCAGCTGAACCTTGATTTCATGCACGGGCTAAAATTAAACATCGCCTGCTCTATAAATAACATCCAGCTTCGTGTGGTGAGGCTCCGAGCTGCATGGCGTGCTTAGTAACTAGGCCCTCTTCTTCACACACGCAGAGATGTTAACACCCCCCCCCTTCTTCCCCCCTCCCTCTCTGTGTGAATATACTGTTTGTTTCTGATCCAGTCTCTCTGAAGCTGGAGGAAACATCCAGCTGCTTCATTAGAGCCCAGAAATCCCCCAAAACCTTCCCTGGAGTCTGCAGAGGAGCTGCAGGACGTTTATAACTCTAATACGCCATCTAGTGGACACAGAAGGCAACACAGCACCTCACTGGGACTTAAATGATATCTATGATGAGCACCTTCTGTGCGCAGTTTGTTCATTTCTGCATCATTTCCAGTTAACAGAAACTCTTCTGTGCTCACAGAGCTCCACCCTGCAGAGAGTCTCTTCAGTCCCTGTGAGGTCAGAGGTTCATTTACCTTTCTGAACAGGTGTGGGCACATCTGGAGGGTCCTCAAACTTCAGCGTCTGTACGAGGTTCTCCGGCGTTATCTTAGTGCCGGCAAAGATCCCAGCGGGGAACGAGCTCTCTGCAAGAGTCTGACAGGAAACACATCATCACATCACATCACTCATGAAAAATAACTTGTGAATAAAATGGATCAATAAATGTAACTCTGAACCCAACATTTTATTTAGTCACTGAGCTGAACTCTGTCAGCTGGAGTGACACAGAGAAATGTTATAACACACCTACCAAAAATAACTGCAACATTTTGGATTTGCAAACAAAACATTTGGAGTCCGGGAACAAAAGTCTGAATTTGAGAGCAAGAAAAAAGTAAGGGCAAGATCGAAAACTGCCCCGGCAAGCCGGTGTTGTTTGTGTCATGCCAGTTTTTCAGCGACATGTGAGCTCAGTTTTCAACACATTACCGTAAGTTCATCGGTATCTGCCGTGACTGATGGCGGTCAGCGCCATGTACTGCTCGCCTCTGACACAGCAACATCATAATGTTGCTATAAAGTGGCCAATAAAGACAAAAAAATGAACACATTTATGGCAGTAAAGGCCGTAAAGTAAGACAACGGGTATTAATTGACAGTATGCATCATGATGGGGGCTGCCTGGTGTGTCAGTGGTTAGCGCTGTGGCCTCACAGCGAGGAGGTTCCTGGTTTGAATCCCCGTCTGACAGGAGCCTCTCTGTGTGGAGTCTGCATGTTCTCCCGCGTGCACGTGTGGGTTCTCTCCTGCTTCCTCCCACGTCCAAAGACATGCTGGTTAGGTTAACTGGAGACTCTGAATTGACCGTAGGTGTAAATGTGAGTGTGGCTGGTGATCAGTCCAGGGTGTAACCCCCGCCTCTCGTCCAATGACAGCTGGGATCGCTCCAGCCCACCACGACCCTGAACAGGAAAAGCGGTGTAGTACTGAGACGAGCGGTGCATGACACTAAACCTCGGACTGGCATGCCACCGGCCACGGCAGACACCGATGAACTCACGCTGCAAAAACTAAGTACACATCTTCTCACTGGAAAACTGGCATGACACAAACAACGCCGGCATGCTCCTGAAGTGGCATGCCCGCAGTTTTTCATTTTGGTGCTGCTGAGAAAAGAATTGGATATTAAAATGACACTGTCAAACTGTTTTGATTTTTGCAAACTCAGATTGAAAATGCAAAAAAAATTGATTTGCAAGTTTAAACTAAGAAACTGCTTTTAATACATAACTTTGAAATGTATTTGCTGACAAATGTTACAGGGTTAGCTTCCTGCAGTTTATTTATCAAACAACTTATTAACATTTAGAACTGGGCTGTAATTTGGGTTTCAGATTTGGTTTTGTCTTTTTCAAGAGGAGTGAGACATCTAAACAAAGCTGTGATATTAACAGAGTAAAAAGCTACCACGCAGTCTCGGTTCACCTGTCGTTAAAAATCCTCCCACCTGACGGGTTATTATTAAAAACACACCTGTTTAACATCTGTGGAGGTGTCACTCCTCTTGTTTTCCAGAAGTGGAGGCTTGATGGAGAAAAACGAGGCAGCAGGAGGCTTCTCTGAACCCGCAGAGAGCGCCTCGGATCCCGGCGTGTGCGTGAGGCTGCTCGGCCTGTCGAGCTTCACCGCCTCCTGATGGATCTTCTGACGGACGTGCTTTATCTTTCCAACCATTTTAATTCAACCTTAACAACTTTATATCACGTTAATCTGAGGCAGACGCGCAGCTGCTCCCCGGTGAGTCCACAGCGTGTGATGCTAGCACCGGAAACTGACGTGATGCCTTCAAATTAAGAGTTGGCATTTGTCGCGCTCTTCATATCAAGAGTATCTCTTTGAATTATTATTTTTACATGAATAAAATACAATTATTAAGTATTAATACATTATCACACATAACTTCCATTTGTTACAGCTTCTTCAGTGTTAATATTTTAATTTATTTTATTTTATTTTGGCACATTTTAAACAGCAGGCTAAACGTAGGATATTCTGAAAGGTGTAACAATTGGAGAATAATTATTTAAAACATTTCCTATTACAGTCGTGTGCTCATTTTATTCCGTATTCTATTTTTCACGTATAAAATTGCCGCTCTGATGTGATAAAACAGCTTAATCTGAAAGAAAACCGGAAATGATCATGACAAAACCCGCTGCCTTGACGTTGTTGACATCACAAGCGTGGCTGGTGTTCCGGGTAAATGGACCGATTGGAAACCGATCAGAAAGAAGGTTCCGCTTTGCCTTTAACTCCCAAACGACAATTCTTGAAATCCAAATGTGCCAAAAATCGCTTTAAATTACTTAAAAATTACCTTAATAATGAAATGCCTTAAAATGTTGTTGTTTTGATTTATTGTATTTTTTTTTTACTTGTTTAATCATTTGAACCAAGTTCTGTTATTTTCCTAAGTTAAGTCTGTTTGTTCTGCTTCAAAAAGTTATTAATGTACAGCTTGTAAATGTGTATGAATATAACAATAAAACAATAAAGTAAAAAAATGTAATTGAAAAAGTATTTGGTGTTGAACAATGCAGTTCCCCAAGTGTCCACTAGAGGTTGGCTGCCGGAGCACAGGAGGTGAGCCTGAAATTTAGAGACAGCATTTCCAGCATGGAGACCGCCATCGATGGGACTCCGGCGCCCTCTGCAGGAACAGACGGGTCCGTTCATATTTACAGTCTGTGTTACCGCCACATGGTTTATTTAGAGGCAAATAAATAAATATATATATGTGTATATATATATATATATATATATATATATATATTTATTTAGCCAAATTACATCCAATGAAAGATAAAAACAAGTTGCACATTTAAGTGAAAATCTTCTTTATTAGCAGGAAGATGTGACAAATGATTATGGGTTATTTTACAATAAAAAACACATTTAATCACTACAGTACATCTGAATGTTTCTATGTATACAAAAATAGACATATCAAAACACATTTACACAAATGGATAATATGTACATAACACAAAAATATACTAAATGTGTTACATTCTAATTAGCATTAGCTACAACAAGTACTTAGTTAACGTGACAATAGGACCGTGTATTTTATAATTATAGAGGCCTACAACAGTATTCGGATATAGGAGTTGATTGAATGCGATCACAACAGAGCAGTGCGTGTCACTCACTTAGACTGTAACACCGGGAAGGTTGCAGCCGGGGAATAAAAATCAAACTACAATAAGATTGAAGTTATTTATTTTTAGAAAGAGGTGTTTTCCTTCTAATCACAGAATTGACTTAGAAGAATAGCCTATCAGTGGGGGTCTTGATCGGTCTTGATTTAAAATCTGGAGTCCATCCAGTCTGAGACCGAGACAAAATGCTTTCAATTCCTAAGACCTTCAAAAAGTGGTCTCCAGATCAATCATGAATCACAGGCTGATCTCGAGTCCCACAATACTGCTCTGATCACACTTTTAGAAAACACTTTCAATGTAATTTGGTTCCTGCAGGTTCAAACACTGGACTACATTTCCCAGCCAGCTAACTGTCAGGCTGTCTGAAGCTTGAAGAGAATGTTTGCACATTAGGGAAAGTGAAAGCAGAAGACTGCAGGATGAAGTGCTTTTTGTCAAAGAAAAATACTTCAAGAAAGTACGTCCTGATCTAAAGATAACGGTGGCACATTCTTCTCTAAAACACGGACAAGATACTTAAAACATGAGCAGCCGAGTTACACACATTACAACGCACAAAACTAAAACATGCATACTATACAAGAACCTTTAAACATTTGGCGCAGTAATAATTCACATCAAATAAGACTAATAATAATAATAAATTCTACTTCAGAAGGTGTACTTTCTGTCGCAACGAAGGATTCTATGTGAATCATTTTAAATGAACTTTGACTCATTCGAGGTCTGTGATCCTGAGGTGCACAAATAAGGAAGAAGGAGGAATACTGGTTCCATCTTTGGACAGGAGGTGGATGTGACGATAACCTGAGAACACAAAACAAAACCACAGGATGAGGATCAGAGCTGCGTCCTTCTCATGATCCGTAAATCTGATGATTATTTATCAAACATGGAAGTATGTGGGGATGCAAAGAACACTAAAGACAATGTCAGAGAAGGAATTTCTATTCCTCAAAGTTATGAGTCAGCATGAATTTGATGCACTACAAACCTTGTAGTTTGATGTTCTAGGTAGCAGAGACAAGAAATACAAGGCTTCCATTTGGAGACATTTCTGCACTGGACACTTTTGCCCTTTAAAACAGATTTCCCTCTGCTTCCCTCAGGTTTGAGAATACAATTTCTTATTAGCTGAGAGTTATTGGTATTTAAATTTAAAGTTGTAATCATTTGCAAATCTGACAGTTTCCAGCCTTACCTTGCTGCATGCAGCTCAGAGGGAGAGTATACTGCCCCACAAAGTCATTCTTAGACGTCTTGTCGTAGTCTTCCACCACAAAGCGCACCATGGCCAGCTCGGGGGTGTGGATGGTGAACCGCAGAGTGTCGTACCACACGGGGTTGAACCCTGCAGGAAGGATTAACCGTTTAATGTCTGCACAATGCTGCTGTTCATACCTGTCTGATAAAGCTGTTTTTCTGCTGTTAATTTTAATTGTTGCATCCCTCTGGGATTTATTCTTGGTCCCCTACTTTTTTAATGCTTCTTGCAGAACAATCCAGTTTCTGGATGATGTGTTATGCTGATGACACACAGCTTTATGTGTCTAATCTCTGCAGTTTAGAGCTCACATGCCTCAGGGACTATACATGCTCAGTGTCCAAGAATGAATAATTAATGATCTTTTATGGTTTAATGTTTGGTTTGATCTATCAGTGACTCTAGTGGACCACAACATCTTCTTTACCGTTGTTCTCAATGTATCTGGTCTCCTGCTTGCACTGATCGGCAGGAACACCGTGAATCTCCACCCGGACCAGAGGATCCACTATAGAGTCCTCTTTGATGTTGACTTTGGGCAGCTGCTGACCGCTGATCACCTGAAACACAGAAACACGAGAATGAAACGGCTATAAAGGTCTACATGTTGTCTTCTTGTCTTTGGGGTTTCTACCTGTATGGTGAGAACGACAGGATGGTATCCTTCTCGTTTTTCAGGTGTCTCAGGGTCAAATCTTTTCTCTGTCCTGCTCATAAAAGGTGGCTTCAGGACGTAGCCACAGCCACCGTTCTGACTGAACAGTCCGTCGTTCAGATCCATCCCCTCCCCCGCTGTCTGAAAATTCAACGCAACTGAATAAAAGAAAGAGAAACAACGTTTAGTGTGTTTTTCCAAAAGTTGTTCAATTATTCCATTTGGTCTTCAATAAAAATTATTTAGAGCAAATCTTTCTGTCATCTTTTGACCCATCACAGCATTTCATAATGCATATGATTTCAGACGATGTGTCTTCCAGTTTTAATCACCAATTTGGCACCCAGCGTTCCACATTTCCTGAGGATTGAAATTGGAGGAGTCCGTTCGGAAGCCGCTGGGGTAAACTCTGGTCAGATGCCGGGAGTTATGGAGCACAAATTCGCCCCTGAATGAAAGATAATATTAGAAGTAAACTTACAACCCAACCCATATATAAATGTCTCTACGTATGTGTTACAGTAAAAAAGATTGATCAGACTCACCTGCCTCTCTGAGGTGCTTGCGGGCCTTAGACTCAGTGAAAGAGGTCACCTCATAGAACTTGGAGTGAATCCGGGAGTGTTTGAAGCTGCTGAAGTGGACGCTTTTACAGTAAACCACACAGTCTGACAGCTCCTTGGAGAGACGCTGCTTTGACTTCTGTGGACAAAGGAAGATAAAGCATAAACGATGGATAAATAATGTAAATAAATGAACATGAAGCCATGACAGGCGAGACTTCTGACTATGAGGGGAACACTAAGAATCAGACAGGTCCATTTATTTCACAATTAATGCCAAGAGACTTCATTAGTACGTCTGAATTGTAGGGAGATCCCAAACCTAATGACCCAAAGACACATCCTAACCAATAAGGGCCATAAACACACCAAACGCTCATTGTTGTCACATCACATGGCCGGGTAAACCCCTGCAGTTCAGAGGAATCCTTTCATGGGTGGATGGACTGGGCACATTGAAACCTTGAGTTAACCTTCTTTTGAATTGTGTAAGTGATACTCGAGCGCTTTGCCAAGCAGGAGCAGGCGAGCTGCCAGGCAGGGTAGCTTCCATGATGTCGAGATCACAGGTGTGGCAGTCCCCAACAGCACAGCGGCAGAGCATCTGTGCATGCACGCCTGCCTGCGTCCACATGAAAGATGATCCAGCTGGACTACCCAGGCCTACCTCAACCTCCCCCCATCGACCAGACAGCAAGACACCCACACCATCACTAGAGGCACCGCTGAGCTCACATCACTGCCAGACTCGACGCTGGCCTCACCTCTGGTGACCGTGTTGACAGCAGTCCCAGTGTGGCATTTCAGCTTCTCGAATGCTTATCAATAAACATGACTCTAAGTGCCCAACGATTCCTTTACACACCTGGTTTGCTGCACCCAAAGTAGACGCACATTCAACATCAAACAGTAACAGCAGTACAAATCCATTTGACATCTACAGTATGCATGAGGTGTATGAATAACAGTGAAAGGTCGAAGAAGGACGTCTCCTCCCGGGTGGAAGTACCAAGAAGTCTTCAAAGAGAGCAAGCCCAGGAGACATCCTGTTCAGATGTTTGTGGAAATAACTGAATTCAGCCATGATCGAGGTTACCCTCACTCATGAACAAAAGAGACTCACTTCCCACCTGGAGGAGGCGATCCACCTTTTTCCAGCAGAGAACTCTACACTAAACTGCTGATCCTCCAAAGCCATTGCGTTATTAAGACTGCATCCTAAACAGGGATCTGTGCATTTGTAACTTGCAGACTGGATGCATTAACCTTTTCTCTGGTCGTCCTAGTTGTGCTTCTGTAAGTCTTCAGCTTGTTCAGAAAGCATCAGCTTGTCTTTCTTCCCCGGTCACCTGTGCAAGCTTGAGCTGAATTTAAGTTTCTGACTTTGACATGAAGGGCTGTGCACCATCTCACCTGTCAGAGCTGTTTTTACATTGAACATGCTGGTCTGGCCTCCAGGTCTTTTCCATGTTGACTAAATATGAGCTGGTATCAGTTTGTTTGTGTACCATGCTCGTGTGTACGGATGTTTTGCCACCAGTGTAACTTCTGAATGTAGGACTCCTCATTCGTTTTTTTTTTATTTTGGAGTCTTTTTTCATTTACAAGGTCTTTAAAGGTTGCAGTGTCCGTTTAGATAAACACCTCAGAGACTCTGTTTCAGTATTTAGCAGCAGAGGCCATTAATGTCTATAATGAGCTCTGTTCAGGGTGTCAAGTGTCCAATTCTAGAGGAGGCTGTCCAAACTTCACCTCATACTCTAAGCCTGCTCAGGCCTGGCAACAATACGATCTTATTCTCCTTCCTTTTTTATGATGACTTGATTAAAGTGGTTGATTTCATAAGAGCTGTGAAGCCTCATAAATATCTCTTTTCCTTCCTGATAGTTCACTGAGGTTCACCTCCGCTCAGGCCGGCTGAGTGTCATGAGTGTGATCTCGCTGTTGGAGCATCGTCTCTGCCTCTCTGCTCTTACGGTGTAAACAGATCACCCTATCTAGCACCCAGTGTCTGCTCCCTGCCCTTCAATCCTCTGGATTTTTCATGAGGGATGACAGAAGTTTATGCAATCCTTTTCCGCTGGATGAAAAGGTGAACAGATTTCCCCTCTCAGAGTGTCACCCGCATTCTTTGTCTTCTGGTTTTAATTCTGGGCTAAAGTTTGGCCAACTGCTCACACAAAGAGCATCATTAACGCCATTCTTTATGTTACAAACAAGATCCAGACTAACGGGTACCTAAAAACAAACACAGTTCAAAGAGTTCCCGTCAAACAAAAGTTTCAGGTTTCCTTTTAACAGCAGCTAGTTGACCTTCAAACAGAACAAACATGTATCTTAATAATCAGCTGCTTAAGGATGTCTTACGACTCAGCGAAAGGGAACCTTAAAACTAAACCTTAAAACAGCCCCTGATGGGTACCTCAGGAAACGCTCGTGTGAGTTAAACAGAAGGGAGATGGGAACCTTTAAACAACAAGCATGGGTAACGGTACCTTAAGCCCGATGCTGTAGCATACTTCAAAACGGGTTCTTAAAGGTAAGTAAAACTGGCAAAGACAATGTAAGGGTCAGCAAAGCTAATGGTTAAACTAGCTTAAAACCCACACTAAAGGTTTATTAAAACATACTCCTAACTGTTCCTTAAAACTGCAACAGGGTTCCTGAAAACAATCTCTCGAGTACCTTATCTCAAAACATACACAAAGAAAAAATTATTTGTGCTGAAGATGATCATAAACAGAATCCTCAAACAGACTCCAAAAAACTAAAACTTGCACCAAAAGAACTTTAAAACTGATGCTAAGTGGTACCTTCAACCAAACGGAAACCAGTTTCTTAAAACACTAAAGAGTTATTTTTAAATAAACACAAAGGGTACCTGAAAACAGACTCTAAATATCCCAGTATAACCACAGAGTTAACCTGAGTAACAGGTTCGACAGGTAGAATTAGGGTTGAATAATCTGGAGTGTCTAAATGAAGTCAATCAAAATCAGAATTTAATCAACAGGAGTGACTTTATTTTGGGTTCATCAGGTTGATCTGTTTACTGGTCCATTTAGGCATTAAAACCCCCGCCCTGATTCACCTCAGCGTTTCATCATCAGTCTGAGATAGTGGATTCTGATTCAGTACCAGGCTCATCCGACTGTGAACAATAAGCCGTCTGGGTCATAAAAGTTCATCTCCGTGTGTGAGACAAGCCGACTTACCTTCAGCCTGCGACACACACTCTCTCTGTGGACGTTCTCTTCGTCGATTTCAGCGACCTCGTCTTCATCGCTGACCTCTCCAGTCTGCGAGTCTTCCGCCGTCCCGTTGTGGTGACTCTCCTCCAGGCCGCCGATTTTCTTCGCTTTCAGCAGAATCTTCCCCTTTAAATCCTGACAGGGAGAAGAAGAAGAAGCAGGTGTTACATTACTGTACCTTGCAGAACATGGCTGTAGCTGATCTACCTCTGGCCGTCATATCTTGGAGTATCTTTGAATTTAACTTTAGGGCTATGAAAGGGTTCTGCTGCTATTATTTTTAAAATCTTAGAAGCTTGCATACACTGCAGTGCAGGTTTTCCCCAAGTCTTACACAACGAGTGACCTCATTTAATAAAGTCAACAAATATAAAACATATTGAAACAAGAAGTGGACCTTCACTTGTCGCTTGAAAACGAGGGGTTAATGTTTTATTACGCTGAACATGTTGTTCTGGTTAGGTGACAGATCCATGAAATTGGTGAAAGTCAAGCGAGTTATCCTGGATTGGAGGATACAGGTGACTACTCCTGATTTGATTGTGTTGGGAAACAGAGTGGGGGGTTTTAGGACAATAGGCTACACTGCTCACCTCAGGAGACGGCAGCCCGATGGGGGCCTTTCCATCCAGTGTGCTTTTCAGCAGTTTATCACCAAGGATGTGGTTGAGGTGTTGGGCCATGACTCTCTGCTGCTCAACACTGCAGTGGTTCTCGATGGAGAGGATGACTGGATACTCAGATACCTGGACGGAGGGGAGGAAAGGGAGTGAGTGAGTTTGTAATTCTACACTGTGAAGCATTATCATTGGGGAAAGCTAATATGCCTGCTGCCATACACCTGTGGGTTGTGCTTGGCTAGCTGAACGAGCAGCAGATGGATGGACAAGGGGTCATGAGGGAACAATATTCAGTTGCAGACGGATGCGCATACACTGCACACTCTGACAAGCATGTGAACCTGGCAGCTGTACACTTTGGCATGAGGCGGGCAGATCCCCTGGCTGGCTAACTGTCTTAAGCTTTTGGATTATGTCTTGGATATAATTGCTCCGTTGGACTCCCTCGTATAAATTACCAATGAGACGCTAAGCGATGTGTTGATACAGCTTCACAGGACAATCACAGTGAAAACAGGTCCAGTGTCAGCCTGAGGGGTCAACAGAACATACCTGATGTTGGACTGTTTTCCATTTGACTGTCAGTTTTCAAGAAATCAACAGTACCATGTCAATGAATAAAATAATTACCTTATTAAGCGCTATCATCTTAAAGTACAGGCGCATCACAAAAATAGTGATATTACAAAGTAACTCCGTCTCTACGCTGATGATACCATGTTATATTCCTCCATGCATGCATACAGATATTCTCTTCTGTAATCACAGATTGCTTTGAACTCCAGAAGCTGGAGCTGGTCTTAAACTGGTACTGAAACCCGGCAACACAAAGTACATGATCTGTACAAAGCAACACTGACATTTTCAATTTTTTTCTGCTCTTCTGCGAATTTGTTAAACTTGATCTAATCAGACTAATCATGATTGGTTTGATGCTTTGTTTTTGAATACATTTTTCTAATTTCAAGCTTTGGAAAGAAACAGCTTTGGACTAAAACTGTAACTTTTTTAACCTTGGATATAAATGATATTGCCACATAATTAGAAAATGGCAGAATTTGATGTTATGCTGATGAAACAATGTTTTATCTCTCTAGCCTCAAATGACCGACTGCTTTTATGCTAAACAAACAATCTCAAGCTCGTATTAAAATGGTACTGAAATGCTGCAAACTCATTATATTTTCAATGATGAACACATGACCACATTTAACAAAGACATTGAATTTAGTCAATGATAAAGATACGTCTACATGGCTGAATCTAGAGACAGGATTGGTTTAAAGAGACAAACATTTGTGTGATGGTCTTGGTTTGGAATCTGTTGGCCACAAATCACGATAATGATCTGTTTGCACATAAAAGGTTCAAGGTGAGAAGGATCATCAGAAAACGGCCTGACTTGATCAAGACGCCTGTGTTCAAACATCCGCTTTTGAGAAGATTTTATGGTACAAACTCCTTGGGAACATTTCTGGCTGTTACCAGCAAAGTGAGACAACCAGACAGGACAGGTGACGCTACCTTGAAGGCGTAGTTGCCCACTGCGTTGACCACATCCTTGAAGAGTATCTTGGAGGTAAAGGTGTGTCCATGATACACGATGGGCTCTCCGTTCGCACCGTCCCAGCAGTCTACCTCGACACAGCGACAGCCTCGACTCAGAGCTCTGAGCAGCAAACACAAACCTTTCAACAATGAGTTCTGCTTTGGTTCAAGGGTCACAGGAGGGAAGAAGATACAGCGACTTTAGGATATCAGACTGATATTTGCTGAACAGAACTAATCATTTTAATACATTAAAACCAGTCCTTACTTTCTGATTAATGAGGGTTTAAACTGATTATGGTTGGAAGATTAATTCATGGCGACCTTTCAGCGGATCTCATTACCCGTGAGAGGCTAAATGGAGCGTGGAGAACACACTGGGTGAGGGATTATCACCGAGTGAAACCCTGATACTATTTTTAAATGGTTTGGACATGAATTTATATCAAATTATTTTCTTAAGTATTCTGAATTATCACGAGAAACAGTTTGGTGATAGCTGCAGAGGTCGCCCTGGTGAGTCAATGGCTTTGGCGAATTCTAGGTTCATTCCACCAAAGGGTAATACCAAATTGTTACCGTCTAGTTGGCAGGTTACCAGTTTGCTTGCCAGACTTTTGCAGTGACCAGATCAGAGCAGAGCGTTATCACCTGATGTATCCCTCCACACTGCTGTGTCCTCGCAGCTGGTCCTCCATCAGGTAGGTGTTGTGGGAGGAGGAGATGAGGTACTGGCACAGAGGCCGGGTCATGTCCTGGAAGATGCCTCGCTGCTGTGGGTTGAAGATGGATCCCTCAGTCGAGCCGAGGTACATCAGGAAGCCGTCAAATGTCATGGCATTCAGCAGCTTGGCTGGGGACAGGAGACAGCAAGGGGAGGGTCAGAAAGAGTCAGACTTCATACCCTCCTCTTTATTTTCCATAGAGTTGGACCGTCCTCGTACCTGCGTCAGAGGGCTCATAGCGTTCGATGAGCTGGATGGCGTGCTGCTGGATGTCGCCCCCTTCCAGCTGCTCCCCTCTCAGGAAGTCCTCCAAGTCGCTCTGGGAGAACTTTTGGCCATCTGATGAGAACTTTTGGAAAACCGTCAGAACATCCTCCCGCTGGGTCAGCATCTTGTAGAAGAGCACAAACTCGTCGTCCTCCAGCGTACTCGACTGGGACTTATCAGCCATCTGAGAGACAAGAAGGAAACACGCTTTGACTCGATGGTTGGACCTCAGGCTGGTCCCGGGGGAAAATAACGAACGCTGAAATCACAACAACAAACAGCAGATACGTTTAAAGGCTGGTACCGTGAAGAGTCGATGAGCGTGGTGCTCGTTCATGTCCACGTTCATCATCTTCAGTAGATCTTGCACTTCCTTGAAGTTCATCCTGCCGTCGTTGTTCTTGTCCGCCTTCTTGAACCAGTCGCCAATCCATCTTTAACGCCACTTAAGGAAAGATTCACATTCACGATCCTTCTTATGAACTTTTAAAGAGATATTTGATTAAGTCTTAGAATCTGTCCTTTTTACACAAACAAACTGACAGAGATTATTTTAACCTTTGTCACTTTGTTGGCAAAGTCACCTACGACCCCTTCTTACACTCACTAGATGAAATCAGTTCAGAGATGTACAACACATGAACATCACTAGAGTGTGACATCAGAGGAAACTGGTGAAAGATACTGGTCTAGTTTCTCCCTCTCCCCCATGTTCTCCAGGCTCTCGATCAGCTTCCTCATGCCTCTGATCCAAGTCTGCGCCTCCTCTGCCGACTCTGCCACCAGATCCAGGTTTCCCCGGCGACCGCGAAAGACCACCGTAAAGCATCGGTCGGCTGGGAACTCATCGGCGATGCTGACTAGGACCTCAGACTGGTGGCCCTCTCGTATCGCCTCCACGTCGCCGACTGAAACTGGAAACAAAGTCCGACATGAGGGGGAGAAAACTCAGCTGAATGCAAAGAATACATTGCCAGAAACCAGCAAAATAAAGAACTGACAACTGAGGTCAGGGCCTCCTGAGGGGACCTGGTCTGGTTTTACTCCCCTTACAGGGAAAGTCTGCACTGAACGACCGAACATCGGGTAAACCTTGTTGCATCTATCCACCACTGTACTGTACTGACGTCATGTGATCTTACATGTGGAGTGGGCGTTGCCGGCCTTCTTGGACTGGTACCAGATGGTCATGCAGTCGTCCTGCAGTTTGAAGTAGCGTTGTTTCTTCCAGGTACGAGACTTGATCTTCCTCATCACCGTCCCCACCAGCATGGACTGGAGGTTATCGTCCCCCCTGAAGCCTGAACGTGGAGGACGTTATCGTAAAGGTTAGTATGATAGGACAGGGTTAACCTCTAAAGACCCTGTAGATGTAGACGTCTTATTTGTACTTAAAGTCATCAGTCAGGCGTCTGAACTCAGGAAGTTTAAGCTCTTGTTGTGTTCAGTTTAATATTATAATCAGAGACTCACGGAGGACGCTCCCTGTGGACGCCATTCGTTGTTTTCTCACTCGTCTGCCATCTGAGAAGAAGAAGACGTCGTCACAGAGTGGAAGTTTAGAAAAGAGAAACTTCAGGGGGCGCTGGAGTCTCATCGATGGCGGTCTCCATGCTGGAAATGCTGTCTCATCCTAACTTTGAGTCAACCTAACGACAGGCTGAGAGCTGGAGCTGAGGCGGGTTTTAAACCTCCTGACAAACCGTTACACCGCGCCCACCTGTCAATCAGGTCAGCTACACGCCTTATTGTGAATAACTCTTATCCTTCATCAAATCAAAACTGATGAGTCATCAAAACATTCACCCCCCGTACAGTGTGTGTCCATCGAGACATGAGCTAATCACACCTATTTGGTTTTTTGAACAGGCTGTAAACATGTTCATCTCTGCTGTAAAAACAGGTTCTGTGCTTCTGCAGCCAGCCTCAGAGTTTCTCCTGCATGCTTGGATCTGTAAACAACATTAGAACTTCTGTTCTGTGCAGTTTAACAGAACCAGTCAGGGTTTAGAGACCCCCGCCCCCCTTGTGTTTCTGTCCCCGGGATGAGCTCACTAATCTGACCTGACGCTCTCTCTCGCTGCTCTGTTGTGGTTTTTTTTAGCTGTCCTGCACTTTTGTTCAGTTTCTCTGAGCCCACTAATCTCCCCCAAATCCTCGCCATTCCTCTCACTGACCACCTCAACTAAGTCGGCCACTCATTCCAGGACTAAAAAAGATCATAACAGACTTTGAAGCACTTTTTCTTTGATTCAAATTTAAAATGAAAACTAAAGAGTCTCTGAGTGCTATTAAAACTGAGGTTTAAAAGGAAACAGAGAGATTTCTTTACGTTGAATAAACAGCTGATAAGACGCACAACACACAGGATGAAATGGATTCAAGCTGCTTTTAGTGAAAACAAGAATTCTTGTCTACAGAGACGACAGGTCAGCGGCCACATACAAACACAGATGATTTTAAAATGACAAAAATCTGCAGAAATAACAAACATCATCGTGCAGAAAGTCATCTCAGTTCTGCAGAGGAAAACGCTGAATTCTCTTTTTTTAAAAACACCTTTAGGTTTGTTTGAAATTCTAACTGGAGACGTTTATATGACGTCAACAGAGAAGAGACACCCAGCAGAACATGACACGACGGGTTTGCAAACAAATAAAAAAATAAAAATCATGAAAAATGTAAAAGATGTTTTTTAAATGTAAACTCTAAAGCTTTAAAATCATCACGGAGGCATCGCTCTGTGTCAACCTGACCATGTCTCGGTGTTCTGAGAGAGAGAATTCATATGTTTTTATAAAACTCAGACAGTAAAGGTTGGATAAATACAAAAAAAACACACAAGACAGAAAGTTAAAGGACGCTAAAGTTTCATCCTGACATTTTCTTTTAGAATCATTAGGAGGGAAACAGGTGAAACAGGTGAAGCGATCATTATAAACATACATGACTTAAAGGTGGTAAACACAGAGGGTATATAAGAGTCTGACCTGCTGTAGGATCATGTCTCTGTGGCGGTCTCTGCAGGATCAGATCGTCCTGAGAGCTGCTGTCTGCACGGCTCGCTGCGAAACAACTGAACACAGAAACAGCTCACCTGTCCACCCTCGCCCCTCCCCCCCCTCTTCTCATCCCTCCTCCTCCTCTCTCTACTCACCAATCCTCTCTCTCTCTACTCACCCCTCCCCTCCTACTCACCTCGACGATGACATGATGACGATAAAGGTGACAATGATGAAGATGAAGACGATGATGGTGATGGTGCGTGGGTCTGATTTGTACAGCATTCTTGTACCTATATCTCACACACACACACACACACACACACAGACGTTTGTGTGGATCTTCAGATTGTGTTCATGTGTGTTCTTCCCTCTCAGGTTCTGACACATTAATAATCCACAGCAGCAGCTCAGCTTCCACGCTCAGGTTACACCCACACACACTCACTCACACACACTCACTCACTCACTCTCACACACACACACACACACACACACACCTCACAACATGACTTACGCACGTCATGAACACACACTCACAGAATAAAACACCAGAGGCGCTTTTTGTTGTTGTTGTTGTGCGACAGTTTATTGATCAGCGGCAGAAAACGTCTCAGGCGCTCTGACTCCGCAGAGACGCCATCTTTGTTTTCAAAAGTCTTTGATAAGAAACAGAGGCGTCCGTCATGATCGGAGCTCCTCTGTCCCCAAGGCAGGTGTGTGCTGGTTTCCTTTAGGCGGAGAGGAGGCGGAGGAGGGGTCACTGCGTTAAGAGGGGGATGCCCCGCGGGTCGGTCACCTGACCCTCCTGCAGGTTCTTCACCAGCTGGGCCAGCCAGCGTTTGGTGGTCGTGTCGTCCTTGAGCACGGCGGCGAACGTTGTGTCTTTGAGCTGATCGGGGAGGCACTGACGCAGAGCTTCACGGGCCCTGCACACACACACACACACACACACACACACACACACACACACACACACACACACACACACACACACACACACACACACACACACACACACACACACGTGTTGCACTATGGTGTTCCCTGCATCATGTCAGAGATAAAAAAAAAAACGTCTTGATTGACTGGTGTACCTGGAGTTGTCGGACAGGCGGAGGTAACACCTCACCACGTGTTTGAGGAGGCGGCCGACGGCTCTTTGGACAGCTGGAGGATCATTTTACCCTGAAACACGATTCAAACATCGTCAGCTTCAAAATCAACCAGAAACAAAAAAAACCAGAGATGTGACAAACTGACGAGAATCATGGCGACGTGAGAGAAGCGCTCGTAGGTCTGACAGATGTAGGCGAGGCCCGTGTCATCCAGGAGGATCTTCTGCAGGATGAACGTCGCCACCTGAAACCACAAAAAATCGATAAATGAACAAATTTAAAAACAGACAATAAGAAAGCTGTTATCCATTATGTCACTTAATTAAAGTAACGTACCGTTTTGGAGAGCTCGCTGCCCGACTCCATGATGCGAAGGCACAAAGGGATGATCTCGGTGGTCAACAGGAAGTTAATCACTTCCTGCTCGTCTGTTTTTACTAAAGCACCTGCAGACAAGAACCAATGAGACGACTCGTTAAAGACATAACGCTACATTTGATGCATTTAAACTTTCGTTTGAATCCAATGGGTTTGTGTTTATCTGATAGTTCATCAGAAAATCTGCAGATTTGAAATGTTGGTTTGACTAAGGAGGGAGTTTGTAGATGTCCTTTAGACTCTAAGGCAGTGGTCAAACCTGAGGTCTGGGTCCCCCTAGTGGGGCTGCCTGAGATCTCAGGGCGGACGTGCAGCTCTGTCCGCTCTGAGGTTGTCAAAACAAGATTTACACTTTACCCATGAAAACTTTTTGCTCACCGATGACTCCTAAGCTGGTGAGGCGGAGGTATTCAAACGGTCGGGTTTTACTGACGGTGTGTAAGAACGGGTAGAGGAAGAGCGGGATGTGAGCAGCCAGAAATGCCGACCTGAGGACGACAAGAATCACAGTCATGCATTGGAAGTCTGCTAAATATCCGTCTATCTCCCAGTGGCTCAAAGACATCGTGTTTTTTTTTTTAACTTGAGAAAATTAAATACACGTTGAGAGGATGTACAGTCAAATTTTTCCACAAATGGCAACCCTTTATTTCTATTTCACTAATTTAGAGGTACTACCGATTGAATGTGTGCCTGTTACTGTATTGCATAAATAACCATTAATATGTGTGTTGGTCATGATGTGCTGAGTGGGGGCGTGGGTGGGGGGGTTGTTCATTGTTTATTACACTTTACTCTGTAATTTAATATAATTATTTTCTTCTACATTCTTATCAGAGTGTTTTTGTTTTGCTTTGTTTTGTTTTTTGGTTATTTTCGTTTTTATGTGTATATGTCACTGTGTACATGCATATATGTTAAAAAAAAAAGAAAAAGGAAAACGGTAAATTGTATTTCTGTGATTGGATGTATCGTTTTGTATTTTTTTCAATAAAAATATTTTTTAAACACATCACACTTCATCTGCACAGACGGTAGAGCTGTGGTGTGTCGTACCGCGTCTCTGGATGGGAGGCCACACACTGCAGCAGAGCGAGGGCGTTACACACTCTGTTGGACTGATGAGCGCTCAGCGTCGGGGGGTTGATCGACGGGTAGATGTTGACGATTTCCTGAAGCAGTGACGAAACGACGTTGGTGTAAACGTGCTGCATTTAAAGAGTATCACAGTATGGATTCTTCTAACCTGCAGCAGGCCGGCGATGGTTCCACACGAGTGCCACAGCATGGGGGCGAGGTCGGGCACGGACTCCCTCTTCTTGCTGAGCTCCAGGAGGGCGTTCTCTCTCGTCTCTGGGTTGGACAGCTCGTTGATCCACTGGTAGATCTTCTCTCTGTCCACCTGAGCCAGAGCTGAGGTCACAGCCTGCAGAGAAAACAATAATTCAGAGTGATTGAGAAATCGTGTCATGGCGTGGTTTGTCCAGCAGAGGGTGCTCTGCCTCTGTGTTTACAGTCCTCTCAGCACTGCGAGCAGCTGAGCAGACAGACTGAACTACGTGTTGGACGAAGCATCACGGTTATTTGTTATGAAAACATCCTTCTCTTGCTTGCGCTTGTGTACCTCATATCTACATGAACTGTTCTGTACCTTATGCCTTAATGTTGCGTACACTATGTGTGTATGTACTGTATAGTGTGTATGCATATATGTACATGCATTTATATGGTGCATATGTGTGTACACAGCTTTACCTCTACCTTTACATGTATGTTATTGCAGAGATTTTCCTTTCTTTCTTTTTTTCTCTCTCTTCAGATTTTTTCTGATTGTGTAATATTGGCTGGATGGTGGGTGGCTAGGCTTGAGGGAGCATTAAGTGTGAGTGTTTGTGGTGAGTGTTTGTGGTGTGGGTGTCTCTGTGTTTAAATGTTTGGTATTACGTTTTGGATTGACCTTTCATTTTGATTTGGTATTATGATGATTCATTTATGTTTTGTAAACGAGATGATGCATCTCAAGGGGCTATCCTTGAAATAAATTACAAATTACAAATCCTTCTGAGGACCTTCACAGAGTCTAGTTTGAGAGAAACACACCTGGTGAAGGTTTGTTTACATTCTCTCTCTATCACCTGCAGAATCACGGTGTGAAGTTACCTTTACATGTACCACAGTTTGAAGCAGCTGAACAGAAACAGTTTAAGAGTTAAACAGTCCATGTGAGGGGCGGGACTTTTCAGTAGGGGGGTTAAAATGAATAAGACTTTAGACTTTCCTTTATTGTCCCCAAGGGGAAATTCTTTTCCACTTCACAGTACAGTTATGGACAGCACGCCGACAGATAATCACAGATGGACAAACACAACAAGATAACATGCAGACAAATATATAGACAGTTTTTATTTTGGCCTTTTGTTGAGGGCTGCTATAGCTGCAGGTGCCAGGCTTTTGCCATATCGAGCCCTCCTGCACAACAGGGACCTGTACCTGCGTCCGGAGGGCATCGTGGTGAAGTGGCAGTTGAGTGGGTGTGTGTTGTGCAGTGCTGCGTGAGATGGCCTTGAGATTGAGCTCTGACAGTGTGGGTGTGGGGAGACCAATTCATTTGGCAGCTATGTTTGTGACACATGTGAGTTTGACACAGTGAGCATGTTAGAGACGCTCACTGTGATGCATCGTGATGTGGACGATTCTGCAGAGACAGAACATCATCGATCACTGCGTACTGATCATTCATCCATTTATAATGCTTTATAATGTAAAGACAATAAAGTTGACGTTGATTTCTAAAAGACTTGACAGAGTTCATATTTATATTTAAACCTGAGCAGACTTATTGTTACTTTTTTAAAATCTGCTCTATAAATAAAGAAAGAAGAAGAAAACTTAAATATCTGATTAACTATCAACATCAGGACATCAAATGTTTATTCTCATGAACATTAAACTCTTATTAAAATGTCTTAAAGTTTCTAAATTAACTTTATTCTCTGATTTAAAGCCTCGGTTTGGTGAATATCATTAAAAATATAAGTTATTTCAACCTTTCAGATCTATTTAAAGTTTAAAACTCTCCCTGATTCTGTTTTTTGTATGTTTCTGAATATTAATTTTTTTTTTTTGTATGTTTCTGAATATTAATTATTTTTTTTGTATGTTTCTGAATATTATTATTTTGTTGTATGTTTCTGAATATTTGTTTTGTATGTTCCTGAATAATTATTTTTTTTGTATGTTTCTGATTTTTTTTTTGTATGTTTCTGAATATTTTTTATTTTTTGTATGTTTCTGAATATTAATTATTTTTTTTGTATGTTTCTGAATATTATTATTTTGTTGTATGTTTCTGAATATGAATTATTTTTGTTTGTATGTTCCTGAATATTAATTATTTTTTGTATGTTTCTGAATATTAATTATTATTTTTTCCGTTTTTTCTGATTTTCTAAATTAGAATAAATGTCTGAATAAATGAAAATAAACAGTAGGAACTTCCTGTTAGCATGTTAGCTCATGTTAGCTGTTTTTAAAAGTTAACAGCTGTCTTTACTCACCGCTCCCGTCGCCAACATCCTGTTCCGCTACAAAATAAAGCTCCCTTTAAACCGCCTCTACTTTTATTTATTCAGTGTTCCAGTTAGAATTAAATCAGAATTATTTCATATGAAAACACAGAAGATTCTGCTGTTCCTTCTGCTTCTTCTTCTTCGGGTGTTCTCTGGTTGTCGACGAACATAGTTCAGGTGCTTTTACCGCCACCTGCTGGATACGGAGTGTGGACCGGAAATGATGGATTCGCCGGTAATTTTGATATTATTATTATTATTATTATTATTATTGTTATTTATTCTTTATTTCGAACGATTAAAAAATAGATGAAAATGAATAAACAAATGTAAAAAAAATCTGTATAAAAAAATAAAAATAAAAAGCCAATTTCAATATAATACACATTTGACTCGTTCGTAATAAAATATAATGAATAAATAAAATAAAACAATAAAAAATAACACCAGTTGAGAACCATTGCTTTATGAATGGTGAAAATAATGACACAACTCTACAGGATTACAGAAACATTCTTATTTTTTAAATTATATGATAAAAAAAGGGCGTTTGGATCAAAAAAGGAGATACAAATTGTATCATTTAAATTTTGTAAACAAATAGAAAAACATCCCTTTAACAATCTGAAAATTTTAAACTTCTCTTTCACATGAAAATGTTTCACAGCTGATGTTTTCTTCCCTCTGCTGCCCTCTTGTGGCTCCTCCAGGAAGCTACTCTTCCTGCAGTTTTACCTCCGTTCATCCAGGAGGAGAGGAAGAACCCGCCTTCCAAGGAGGTTTTTCAGCTGTTGAACCAGCATGGCATCCTGCAAAGTTACATTTGGGATTTGGAAAAAAAAAAACCTTAGATGATTAAACTAATCTTTGTGATTTTCAAACAACATTACCTTAAAAAAAGAATGAATGTGTTTGCAGATTGTAGAGTTAAAAAAAAAAGACATGAAAATCACCTTGTGATGTTTTTTTTTTTTAAATGTAGGAGAGAGAACACCTGAAGAAAGGATTCTTGAGGTCCAGGATGTTTCCAGATCTGAAGCCTGATTGGTCGACCGTCGCTGTGATGGTGATGTCATAACTCTGCCTGCAGCATGAAGAGGAAAATGATTCTTCACGACTGAAAAACGAGCTTCAAAGAGAGTTTTACCACGATGAACAGATCAAACCTGCAATGTAAGACTCAGACATTCCAGAGCAGCGTGTACCTGCTGTTAGCGATCATCAGCGCCGACCCTGACAGAGTTTGTCCAAGCTTCACGAAGAGCGGCGTCTGCAGCAAACATCTGACCTGAGACCAGCGAGTGAGCGGCTCCGAGGGAGACGTGGAGAGCCAAACTGTGGACCTGAACACACATGGATGGACACACCTTTCTTTATGTAGCATGAATGCAGCAAAGATTATATTTCAAACTAAAATGAAGTCAGAGTCGTGTATTCCTCACTTGGAGCCCAGATAAGCCACGTCGAACCAGAAGGCGAGCCCATGAACGAGACCCGACTGCAGCGCAGTGAACACGAAGGGAATCTCCACTCTGCAGGAAACACACACACAGTTTGATCAAGTGTTCCTGCAGTCACACATTTCTTCAAAAGGACACATAATCTGATCTGTTTGTATCCAACCTGTGAAAATCTTCCTCTTTAACCTCCGAGAAGTTGATGCTGTGTTTGACGGATCGGGCCATCAGGACGTGCACATCAAACGCGTCCTGAAAGAGACGGAAACAGAGAATATTTAAAAATAAAATCAAACTGAACGGGTGGATTTATTTGGAGATTTTGCCTTCATGACATCACAAAGGGCAGTAGCCCTTCCCCCACAGCTAGGTGTTTGTTCTGCCCTCTGAGTCTGCCTTCTCACTGTAAACAATAGGACATGGAGCAAGAAAGCACCGAGTACACCCAAGCCCTTCCAGAGAGGGGGGCGTGGTCAGACACAGCTCATTTACATATTTAAAGGTACAGACACAGAAACAGCCTGTTCTCAGTTGAAGGGGTTTTAGCAGACCCTGTACAGCATTGATGTGTTATTTTGCACATGTTGAGTACATTAACAGTCTTTGGGATGTCCTCTCTGTCACAGAATCATTTCAATAAAGTTGTGTTTCTATCTGTACCACTATAGGCTGCCTGAAGAACTCGTCCACTGCAGGGCTGTGCAGAGCGCTCAGGTTGACCCCATAGAAACTTCTCTGCTGCCTGCACACAGAAACATGAAGGCAGAGGTTACTCACAGTCAGCTCGACATGGTCTGACAGAGTTTGGTCTTTTTGTTGTGTGGTTCTTATGTGTGCAGAACTTTGAAGGATGACATGAAGCAGATTGAAAAAGTGTACAGCTCCTCATCTCATCTTCGTCCCTCTGCTGAACTACATCAGTTTATAGTTTATCTTCATTCCTCAAGGCTGACTGAGCCTGACCTGCACATAGAGGTGAGCGGGAAGACGCACACACACACACACACACACACACACGCACACACGCACGCACGCACGCACACACACAAGTGCACAGTGTACAAACAAAATACACAACAGAAGATGTTTTGTTTGCATGTGGAAGAAGAAGAAGAACGCTTCCTGGTTTCCATGGAGGAAAAAACTTCAATACAACAGGACGGCAGTCAACCTGATGCGATAAAATGCGATGGGATCAGAAAATGAGATGCTACATGATTCAATACGATATGATGCCATGCGATACAATAAGATTTGATACGCTACAGGTAAACTACCGCATGCAAACATATTCTGCAAGGTTTGCTTTAGCCTAGTGGTTATGTTGCGCGCCTCATGTATGGAGGCTACAGCCCTCGGTGAAGCGGCCGTGGGTTTGACCTCAGCCCTTTGCTGCATGTCATCTCTCTCCCTCTGCTCCCAACGTTTCCTGTCTCTCTTCAGCTGTCCTGTTCAATAAAGGCCAGAAGAAAATAACTTTATTATCAATAGATTTGTGCAAACCATGGTACACATTTTATTTTAAGATTCTATGACGATGATGCATAGACTCATGAATCTTCTGATTGTCCCATCCTCTGTATCTGCAGCGTTCTAAGTCCTAACTTATCGCCCTGTAACAGATCATATCAGTCCATTTCATAGTGGGTCTGAGTCAGGACTGGACTGAACCCGAGCGTTTTACACCCGACAGGAAACACGCCTGACTGAGGTCAAGCTGGGAACGAGCGAGTGAGAGAGAGAGAGAGAGAGAAAGGGAGGCAGTGTGTTTGTGTCCTCATGCATGGATGTATGCCTGTGTAAACATGTATGTGTGTGTGTGTGTGTGTGTGTGAGACCAGAAAGCAGCTCGTGCGTGGTGTTCAAAGTAGAGCTGCTCGTCGGTGAAGGGAGCCAGATGAATATCAGCACAGGAGGGAAACATCAGACCTGAAGGGGTTAAATTTACACATTCGTCATCGCTTCTTTGTCGATTTCTAAAGTTTCCGACGTGTTTCTCGTACCGTTTGGTTTCAGCCACTTTCTGGCCCGTATGAAGCCGTCTAAGAGTCTGTCCCCCAGCAGCATGTGTCCCATCGGCTCAGAGATGATGAGGTCCACCTTCTCAGGACAGATGACCTCGTCCACCTCCCCCTCCAGGACTCTGATCCGCTCAGACAGACCGTTACTCTGGACCAGGATCTGTGCAGGAAACAGGAACAGGATGTGGTCAATGCTGTTCTGATGCTCTCTTCCTGCTGAATATATTTATGTCATTTTCTTGTTTTGAGGAAGGAAGGATCCCTTGTTATTGAGTTTTAAACTTTGATATGATTCTGCTAAAAATCAAACCACATTGATGTATGATTTAGGGTGAGACAGCACATCCAGCATGGCGTCCAACACAGACACGCTTTACTGGGTCGTCATGTTTAGTATCGACTTGTATCGTCTTGAATTGATTTCATCTCGCCTCTGCAATAAAACGCCACGGAAACATTCTGATTTTAACCACGACTTCTTTGAAAAACATTACGCATTCAATTTTGGTTGAACCTCAGAATTGAATGGAGTTTTTTTGTCTTTGCAGAAACAATGCAGCAGCGGTGGTGACCACACGAACTGCAGCTTGGATCGACAGACAATAAGAAATCTCTTCTGGGGGTTTACCAGAACAACAGGGATCAAACTATCAGAGTTCATGGATGGAAACTCTTCATGGACTTGGTGCTAATATTCAATAACACATAAGACGGACACTTTGTATCGTCTTATATGTTCAGTTTGATGTGCATCAGCATCTCTGTGTGGCCCGTATCCTGCTGAACTCCGCGCCAGATGTTGCCTCAACCCATTAACTCCCCAGAATGCCACGCTCTGCACGGGATGTATGTAGGCTGCTCTGTGTGTGCGCGAGTGTGCATTGCTGTGGTTTCTCTTTGACGGCCAACAAACACAAAATAGCACTCTCTGAAACTTGAGGGGGGAAATTCAGTGTTTCAGAGACCCCAGAAAGTCCATTTCTGTGTCCAGAATGTGAGGAAGATGGAACACAGACCTGTGTGAACTTGGCCAGAGGTGTGGACTCTACAGCATACACTCTGCTCGCTCCAGCCTGGACTGCAAAGAAAGACAGGATACCAGAACCACAACGCACATCCAGAACCACCTACAGAGAGACACGACGAGAAACAACTTTGAGTGGACACAAACTACATCATCATCATGTTGCAGGCAGCACAGCCTGTTTGAACGACCTTGTCTCTGAAGTCTGTCTCGTTGTCTAAAATTGCTCTGTGGTAGGTGGCGATCCTCGGGTAGTCCTGCAGGAGGCTCTGCTGCTGGGAAAAGCAGCTGTGGAACTACACACAAAAACACACAATAATGAACTTTCTCTTACACATTTTTTTGTCATCCCCGCCTGTAGAGTCAGAAATTTTGAGTGTGTTACCTGGTATCCCTGATAGGAGGTACGTATAAGACTCCTTTCTGCATCCTCGTTTCCTCCTTCCTCTCTCTCTGCACGTCTTTTCTTCGTCTCTTCATCATCCCGGTTCTTCATTAACTGCTGGAACTTCTTCAAATCTGAAGAATCAAAAGGAGGATTTGCGTGTTTGAGTCCCCGATGATAAGCAGTAAAACGTGATGTTGTTCTGTACAAACCTGACGGGGCTTTGAACTGCAGCAGGACACTCAGCTTGCCGACAGAGACCACGAAGGACTGACCTCCTACCTGGCAGCAGTCTGTCTGAGTGGAGACAGTAAACTGGAAAACTGATGCTCTACTGGCTGCAAAAAAAAACACACACACACACACACACACACACACACACACATACAAAGCTCTAAAATACGGAAGCCTAGAGTAACTACAGAGAAGCCATTCTGCACCATATTGAGCTTCTGAATTTGCTGATGTGTTATTGTTTGCACCCACCATCTTGCACAACAAGCTGCTGAGCCTCTGGTCCTGATGTGAGGAGAAGAGTGAGCTCCTCCTCTCCTCGCTGTCTGCACACTCTGACCTGCCGCCCCCCGATCACCTCCTTCAGAGCACACAAAAACACACAGGTTCACAACCAAACTACAGTCTAGTCAACGCTTATAGTGTTTTAAATCTGGGCCCCAATTTAGCATAGTTTGGGCTCTTGCCGATTGTCTTAATGCTTCACGTAAGGTGTCCCCCAGGGCTCCATTGTGGGACCTATTTTGTTCTCTATTTTAAGCTTTTAAGCAAAACTACACTTCTAAGCTGTGTAGAAGTGCTCCCTCCTCAGTTAAAGCAGCAATGGAGCTTCAGGGAGCTTTTAATGTTGTCAAAAGCTTGTGAGTGGTTGAGCATCGATCGGTTGCATTTGCTGCCCTGAAAGAAAACGTTGCAGACATTACAGCCTGTTTCACTGCTGCAGACTGGAAACATCTTCTGAAGCAATTCCAAATCTTTTTCAATCTGTTTTCTTAACATGCATCTGATGAAGTCTTATGAAGTCGTGCCCCTCCTTTACCTCCTCATGAGTCTCCATGTCCTCCTCCTCTCGCCTTGTCTCCTCCTGCAGAGTGAAGACCCTCACAGAGAAAACGGACGACTCCTCGCTCCTCTCCTCCATTCTTCAAAGTGTTAGAAAGCTGCTGTAGGAGAGGAGAGAGGAGAAAGGGAGGAGGAGGAAAGGGGAGGAGAGAAGAAGCTAGTAGTAGGAGAACAAACACTGAACTTTACATTCAGCCAGCTGCTCTAGTTGAAGTTTCTGTTTTCCAACACATTTTTAGAAATCATCAAACTTAGATTCAAATAAGTTTTGAGTTTGAGTTTTTTTTACAGTCTTTACTTCATCTTAGAATTTATGGTGAGAGGTCAGTCTGTTTCAAATAACAACAACTCCCACTGCTGGATACAAAACGTCACTGCAAGAGCACACATTCAACATACAGTGGCTGGTTGTCTGTCTCTGTATGTCAGCCCTGTGATTGGCTGGCGATCAGTCCAGGGTGTAGCCTCGCCTCCTCCCCTGAGAGGGACGTTGGGGCAACGTATTTTGCCTGCTTCCACAGCACCCTCGACCTCAGAGAATTAGAAGATAACGGATGGATACCAAGATAGACACCTCTGTGCCTCTGTACTTAATGTCTTTATAGTAAAGATAAATAAATAAATCAACAGACAGACGGGATGGTTTGAGGGAAAGTCGTTTGTTTTATTCGTGATTTAAACACTCTGCTTCACATTTGTCTTCCTCTGTTGATAAAATGAACAACAAGAAGATTTTCAATTGACAGTCGACTTCTTAGTGAACAATTCATATGCAAACAAATATCAATAAATCAAACATTTGATTCTTCTTCAGAAAGAAGGCAGCACATTCTGCACTGCACATTAATACTTCAAAACTCTTTTAATACTGATAGAATGTCAGACGACATGATCGATCACTCTCACAGCAGACATCACTTTCATTATGTGACATTTATAACAGACACATTCATCTCACAGCGATAAAAAAAAAGGCACCGTTCAGGATTTAAAGGGTTTTTTCTGATCAATCTGCATGATTTAAAAGTGGGCTTCACAGCAGTGCAGTGGTTATGGCTGTCCCCTCTCAGCGAGGAGGTTCCTGGTTTGAATCCCCGACTGACAGGAGCCTCTCTGTGTGGAGTCTGCATGTTCTCCCGGTGCATGTGTGGGCTCTCCGGGTACTACGACTTCCTCCCACAGTCCAAAGACATTCTCGTTAGGTGTAAGGTTAAGCAGGAGAAAAAATGAAATGATGGACGGACGTATGCTTGAAGATCATGTTTAAAAAAGTCAAACGAGATGACGCATATCGCCTCACTTGTTTTAGTTTCACACTGACCTGCAGCAGAGAAGCGTCTTCATATTTTAAACCAGCTTTTAAATGTTTAAAAAAGCAAACTAATCATCGCTCTAAGCTATAACAACAATCATTTTAAATATTACTTTTGCAGCAGTCTCCTTCTCCTCGAGTCCTGCATGAGATTTAGTGCATTCTGTATTTACTCAGTGCTGTTCAGGGTAATAATGAATCATGGTGTTATGACCATGTTGATGTAAAATCTGGGCTGCATGTTTAAGTGCATGATTAAAAAGCAGGTATCAACCTCAGTGTTGAATGTTTTAAATTAAGGCACAGGTGACTGGTGTACGGGGGCGCTCAGGCTCGCTGCAGCCCCACCAGCTCACAGCTCTTCTTCCACAGCTCGGCCTGCAGCTCCGTGTCGTACGAAGCGTCTGCAGACGGCCTCTTCTCCCCGTTGTACAAATAGCAGGCGCCCACCCCCTCCAGCTCCGAGGAGGCGGCGGCGAACAAGGTGATGGAGGCGCCCTCTGCTGGAGTCTGAGGAGGAGAGGAAAGAAGGAGCAAAAGAGGCTTCAGTGTCCAGGACATGGCAACCTGCGTGAGCATGGACTCTAGAGAGGAGGGGGCGGGGGGGGAGACAGCTCTCTAATGTTTAGAATTTAGACTGCAGTACCCATTTTAAACACTAGGTGTCAGAGTTACATACTGCTCCTTTAATTAATATCAAGGGATAGGGGTTAAGTGTCTCGTAAATAAAAACGTACCCTGAAGAGGATTTTGGCCACTGGTTTCTTCAGCATCTGCGCGAGCGTCCACAGGTTGTCGTAGAGCGCCGTGTCCACCATGCCGGGGTCAACGGCGTTCACGATCACGTTGTGACCTCCGGCGTTCAGCTGCTCCTGCATGTAGTAGGTGAAGAGGACCAAAGCCAGTTTGCTCTGAGCGTAGGCACCGTGGGAACTGTAGTGTTTCCTGGAGACAGGGAGAGGGGGCGGGGTTACATTTGATTAATTTTCTCAAAGAATAACCACCAACCATATAAATGCCCAAGACGTCAACGTTTTCAGGAAGTACCTCCTGTTTAAGTCGTCCATGTGAATGACTCCTGCGTAGTGAGTGGCAGACGACATGTTGACGATCCTGGAGCAGCGGCCCGGCGACCCCGACCTCTTCAGGACGTCCAGCAGCAGGTTGGCCAACAGGAAGTGACCCAGGTAGTTCAGACAGAAGTGGAACTCGAAGCCGTCCTCCGTCTGACGCTCAGGGACCAGCATGGTGCCGGCTACAAGACCGGAGAGAAGGTTACAAGTTTAATCACCAAAACAAAGAAATTCAGCGTCAGACACAGACGAGGGCGTGTCTTACCGTTGTTAACCAGCAGGTGGAGCGGGAGTCCTCGGTCTTTGAACATCTGAGCGAACTGACGGACAGATTTCAGCGACGTCAGATCCACGTAAACATACTCGGCTGTAAAAGAAGACAGTGAGGTGAGAATGAGTCATGATGCAGAGCGAGCAGGACTCGTGTTGAACTCTGCTCCATTTCTCTCTAGGATCCTTCAAACACAACACGGCCTCAAAGTATGTTAATCCTTTTAAGACTCAAAATATTCCTCAGCCCACTAAACCTTTAATCGCACTACAAGACTAAGACGACGGATTTCACAACATGTTTTTATCACACAGAAGAGTTCTCTTCAAAATAAGAGCTCAGGACATTTAATGATGCAAACACTTTCTCATACCGACGTTTAATGAAAAATAAAGAAGTGCAAAAAGTCAAATATCGGATCTCTATCAAGTCTTGGTTTAGTGTTAGTGACCTCTGATGTACGGTGGCTGAGAAGTGCAAACCAAACTTACAAAGTGGGAAACACTTTTGCAAAGCTTGAGACAAATTTTTAGTCCTAAAACAAATTCACAAACCGGAGAATGTCGCAGCAAAAGGAAATGTACAGAATGCTGGAAGTGACCTGTTGGTGAATGAGTGAGTGATCACTCAGGTTTAGGTGGACAGAGTTTGTGAAACGAGTTATACGGGGTTAGTGGTGACAGGATGATCCGTTTGTCCGTTTTGTGGAATCCACCTGAAAACAGTGAATGTCCGGTCTCTGCAGATTTGTTTGCCGATGGCTTCAAGCGTTCTGCAGGATGTCAAGTCGTCTCAGCGCTTCTCATCTTGTTAATTTATTTTGTCTTCTTGGTTTAAGTGTTTCACATTTTGTGATTGTGGTTTGCACTTCCCAGCATGCAGTACCCTTAAGGTCCACCAGGGGCTGCTGACCAACTCTTGGAATTTACTCCCTTATAGTGAAGTATGAATAATGGATGTGTGTGTAGAACAACATATTGAAGTGTATTTTCTTTTCACCCTTTTTGACCTTTCACAGACTTCTGTCTGAACATCTGCTGCCGGCGTTTCATTCACAATTCGTCCCCGAACTGGAAACAGACCGCTCTTTACAGCGATATGTCAGTGGGACTGAAACAACGACTCTGCTGTGTTTCACGCCGCTGCCTCCTTGAGTCTAATCTAACTCTGATTTCAGTCACACGTCGTTTGAATCACTTTGTACAGATTCAGTGTGTCAGGGTTTCAGCTCATTGGCCCGAAGACTTGACTCGTTCCAGGGCGAGGAGAGAGTGGACGGTTAACAGCAGTAATGAAGGAGAGTTTAAGAAGCTTGTTTTTTAAGTTTCTACAAAAAAAAATCCAACTATCGTTGTGTTTAAAGTCATTCCCTTCAGATATTTGACAGCTTACTATTTCTTCCTTCAGAGACTTAAATTAAAAAAATATGATAAATTTGATCAATTCAAGGATTTTTCTCGACAAACTTTTAGTTAATCGTCCACAGCCGGCCTTCCAAGACTCCTTAAATATTATTTTCGTCCCGTCTAATGCTCTGACTGGATGGACAGACAGACAGGTGTTTACCTTTCCCCTCGCCTCCTTCTTCATGAATCGTCCTGACCGCCGCGGCGCCCTCCTCTCTCTCGTTTCCAACTGGAGGTGATGAAGATCACAGGTGGGTACAAGTCCAGCAGAAATCCATCGTTAAATCATCATCCTACACTGACATGACAAAGCCCGCCCAGACCCGTGAAGAGCTCCTAATGATTCATGCATCAGTGAGATGTTTAACTAAATCAGCCTGAATCTGTGCACGCTTGTGTACAAGCTGAAAGGAACATTTCTACTGACTCCACCTTCAAATAAAAACAGGATCTTTAAACATGTACGGTGCACAACTGGAGACTTTTACTGCTTTCTTTATCTGCACTGAGATGAGGAGGAAACTGTAATCAAAAGCCGACCTGCACAGATCTGTTAACACATCAAGAGAAGGAAGAAGGGTGTCAGAAGGCATGTGATTGGTCGAGAGCGTACCTATGAAAACATGCATGCCCAGGCGTGCCAGGTGTCTCGCCGTCTCAAAACCCATTCCTCTGGTCCCGCCCGTCACTATGGCAACCCTTCCATTTTGCTTTGGCAAGACTGTGTGGGAGGAGAGACGGGACGGGGTGAGAACACTGTGCAACTCTTTTTTTTTTATTTCAAGTTTTACGTTCCAGAAAGATCCGTCAGGTCGCTCACTGTGAAGCCACCAGAGCTGCAGGACATGGGAGCTGCTGTTCTACCTCTGCCTTGTTTACTGAATGATACGTTTGGATTCAACGCGAAATGTCTGAGGAACAAAATATCGCAATAATAATCCTTCCTTTAGGGTACTCGCAACCTTGTGTGCTCGGGCCTTAAAAATGAACCAATGAAAGCAGAGGTAGAGCAATAACTCCTGAGTCCTGTGAGGTAAAATCAGAGTTTTTCTGAATGTAGTGTGTTGTGTTTGTAGAAAGTGATGTCCCAGCTGTTTGTGGTTTAACTTAAATACGTCTCTCTGCAGGGATCCTTTCTTTAATGTCTGAACACACTCAGACTGACAGAACATGGGAGTTGTTGATCTACCGCTGCCTAAACGGGTTGTTTTTTAGTTTTGTTATCTTGCACCAGTTACAGGTGTAGGCTTATAAAACACCAAAGTCTCACAACACCATAAACTAACAGTTTAGGCAGCGGTAGATCAACAACTCCCGTGTCCTACAAGGTTAAACCACAGGGCCAAAAACAACGTTTCGGACACACGCTGATCCATCAAGGATTATGTTGCAGACATTACAACCTGTTTAACCTGCTGCAGAATGAAGAAATAAACAAAGAAAAGGACCCAGGTTAACACATTTTATCCATTTAAAGAGCTAAATCAACTTTTTAAATTATGGAAAAACAATGAACAGCATCTGTTTTCATAAAAAGTTCACTACTGTTGTAATAAAAATCCAAACTTCGGGGGTTACCTGGAAAACATTGTTTAGTTTTATCCTTCTTGCACAGCACAAAATGTATTGAAGAAAAAAAAAACACTGAATTAAAGAGGATGGAAATACTGAAGACAAAACATACAGAGAGGCCTTAGAAGGAAAAACAGTCAAACGTGAATTTATTTTAAGAACATTTGATTGTAGAGTTTAGTCTGTTATAAAGATATTATGGCTGTTATGTTTCTTACCTGAACCCGACCTTAAGGCTAAGAAGAAGCATTTTTTTAATGCATAGATGTAAGATCAGCGTCCATCTTCTACAATTATTTCAAAATAAAGCATCTAGAGAAAATAAGCAAACAGTCCAATAAAGTGAGATATTACTGATCCATTACATTTTCATCCTAACGCCTGTTAAAGTGATTACTTATTTAAGTGAGTCACTTTTAAAGTTTTAAGCACATAGTCATTCCAGAGGCTGACCCAGACTTGAGTTTCCCTGCGATACTCCGTCTGAATCGTCCTCACAGGGTTCAGGCTCATAGTAGTTCCTTGAGTTCTCGTATAAGAAGACCTGCTGATCTACCAGAGCTGGAGATAACTGGTTCCTTTTCCCACACAGGACTGCTCCCGAGGAGCTGAACAGCCTGTGACAGGGGACGCTCATGGGGGGAACACACCAGTACTTCTGGAGCACCTTTGGGAGCGTTGGGAACAAAGGCGCGTGACTGGACCACCACAGTAAGGGATCCTCATTCAGACCAAGGACTCTTTGGGATTTGTAGTTGCTCAGCTCCTCTATGACCTGTGCATGCAGCTCCTCATGGCTCTGGTCTGAATCGGACTGGCAGAATATGGCCGCCAAAGGGTTGTCCTGGGAAACGCTACTGGATGAAGCCTCTCTCGTTGGTTTTTTGGTTGGTGGCTCGTCGGATACCAAGGAGAACTCATCCAAGCATGGTCGCTCTGCAATCTGCTTCTCAAGGACAGCTTTAGCCTCTTCAATGATGTTGTTCTCAACCTTAGTGCGATCCTGAGCCGACAGGAAGGGCAACTTTTTGTACCGTGGATCCAGGAAGGTAGCGACATTAAGGAATGTTGAGATCTCTTGGGAGAGCTGTGAATTCTGGGAATAGGTGCCTGATAGAACCTTTGAGATGACCTCTTTGGTCATGCTGATCTCTTTGAGGTCCCCTTCCTTCACCTTGAGGGTAGTGTTCAGCAGCATGTGAAGCACTGGACGGACCATGCTGATGGTCGGGTACCTGCACGAACTCATCATGTCTGCGACAACTTTGAAAGGCTGGAGGACTCCGATCAAGCCCTCCAACAAGGACCAGTGGCGACTATCAAAGCTGGAATGATGGCTGCTGGAGCTCTCCACAAGTGTCGCAGTAACAGCAACCTGTTGCTCTTTCAGCCTTTGCAACATGGCCAATGTGGTCAACCAAGACCTCCCCCTGTCCGTGATGAGTGCACACTGAGCGAGGCCATACAGCCTTTGTTTGTCCCTCAGCAGATACATCGCCGGTTCCCGGAAGTGATCGACAAGTTTGCGGCAACATCCCAGAAAGCTGTCTACTTGCGGCAGCTGGAAGGCTTCATCCATCGCTCGATTGACGGTATGTCCGAGACACGGCATTTCCACAGATAGTTCCAGGAGCGAGCACGCTTTGACGATGTCCAATGACCCATTCGTGGTGGCACCGACGACTTTATGGGTTATCCCCCATTCGACAAAGGCTTCATACATCCCTCTGGTGATGTTCTCGGCTGTGTTGTCCTCTTGTACCTCAAACGTTTTCAGGCACCTGTCCGTCATTGAGAATCCAGTTGTACTGTTGAAGTTGACTGAATGCAAAGAGAGAGAAATGTAAGTTCGGTTCTGGGTTTGACTTTGCCAAAGATCTGTAGTCACGCCACAGTTCACAACCCCGGCAAGCTCACCAAAGACCACATGCTGGGTACGTTTGTACATCTGAGGAAGCATCTTAGCTGCCAGGTCGGTTTTGCTTGGAGGAGAATACCCGGGATCGATGGTACTCATTAAGGTCTTGAAGGTACGCTCCTCTACAACAGATGCAGGGTACAATCCCTCGCAGATGAAGTTAACAACAGCATTGGTCAGTTCATTGTGTCGTCTGTTTTCGTAGTGTAAGCTCTGCCTGAAGTTTAAGTCCTGCGGCTGTTGCTGGACGTGTACAACTAAAGGTTCAGTCTTTATTCTGGAGAACGCCGAGGCGAACGCCCCACGCATCGGATCAGCGTTGCTCTTCACAAACTCACTGAACTCGACGGGGTGGTTCTTTTCCAGGTGGTACGACAGATTGGATGTGTTTCCAGAGTAAGCAATCTGACTCATACAAACTCGACAGTAAATCCGTTTCCAGTGCAGAATGCAGCCGTCTGCATCCGTGTCAAAGCCAAAGTATTTCCACACTTTGCTTTTGGCTCGAGGGTGTGCGACCAGATTGAGCCGGAGCACGAAGGTCCTGAACTTTTACCCTCCATCGTTTGACTTCACTTACTGAGTACCTAACAAGAATAGTGAAATAAATGTTTGTGGATGTTAATAAACACATGATAGACATTTTCAAAACTAGAGACGGTACTCAAATCTTTCTGTAACATTAACATGCCGACAAGGAACCTGTTTAAGCTCTCCCAAATGTCCACAATGTTTTCTCTTACAATACTCTTTACAATTATTTATTTACCTCTTATGATGTAAAAACAGGAAAAATGATGTTTTCTGTTTCAGTTATTGTAAAATTGAGTATTAGTAAAGAACTACCATTTCTTCTGTTGCCTGATGGATGTTAAGGCAACAAATGGCTAATCTGTCAAAGACAAAAGCAGCTAATCTGTTTCTCTCTTTTTCTAGGATTGGGGGGTCTGGACCCCATGTCCCCAGGGGGGTGTCCAGACCTTTTGGGCTGGGGTGACCCAACTGGTGCCCTGACTTGTGCAGGGGTGGCCTGATGTTTGTGTGCACATGAATAGAGAGCATTCATTTGCCCTTACCCCCAAAGTCACGTTTTATGATTTAAAGAAATTGCAAACAAAAGTCTGCACACCATGAGCTGCCTGTTGCATCATCAAGTCCCACTTCTGGTAAGCAAATGACCAATCATAGTTAAAAAAAACTTTGGGGTGGCCAATAAGAGTTCAGGGGGGGCCAATGCCACCACCCCTCTGGAAACGTAATTGCCTGTCCCCCCCTACGGCGAGTACGGCGTCAATATTTTGAACGAGGGATTTTTGTCTTAAATTCCCAAATGATGTAATTTTTGTCAACAACGATGACGTGCTCAACTTCAAAAAGAAAAATAGTCAGGCTGACAAAGTGGAACTTTTGAATCGTAAACATGTGGAATATTCCTTGTTAGTAACTGTAATTTAGGAATTTCCAGACCGCCTGCATCCTTTGAGCGATGAAAGGAGTATAAAACACACGACATCTGAACACAGTCGCCTCTTTGTGTGAAGACAAACTAACTTTTCTTTGACTTTCACAGAAATCTTTTCTTGGCTCAGGGATTCAAAATGCAATCACAAAGTTCCATCAATAAAACCATAAACACTAACACTCCAGTGTGAGCTTATCAAAACTCCATCACATCTTACGGCTTGGATTAGTCCAGTCGGCATGCTTGACCTTTATTAACTTTGACTCTTCGTCATCTTTGCTCAAAGTTATTATGATGACCGTTCTCTGGATCAATCATTGACTTGTTTGCAGCATGAAAAGGCAATCAGTGTTTTCCAAAGTCTGATGAGACGCCTTTTAATGTCTTGTATATTCAAAAACCACAAAATTTCCACACACAGTGACCGTGATGAATTATTTTCACGCTAACGATCCACTTTAATATCCCCGATCTCTAGATTTCCAGAGCACATGATGCCGAGTAGAGACTAATTTAACCTAACTGACGCAGAGAGTGTGTTGATCACGATGAGAAACTTTGGACATTTTTACACGTCATCGATCGATCAAACGGAGAACAGGAGGTTTAAGTAACACACGTTGACCAAAGAGCTAACACACATCATTCATTAAAAAGAGCTGATTAAGACGGTGTTCAAATCATGTTGTTGGTCAGTGCAAACCAAGACGAGGAACAACAAATCTTTCACATCACTTGAGAGGGTCGAGAAGTCCCGTTGTTCTAACCGTGCAAAGCGGAGTGGCACGCTCCGGAGATGGACTGCTGCACTCGCTGTGGAACCACAAGCATTTACTAGCACGGCAGGGAATGGCGCTGACGGAGTATGTGGAAATTGGCACATCAGCTGCAGCTCGGCGCCCATCCCACAGATCTTCTGTGCACCTGCTTCATTCTGTGTTTTTAAATCACTGGGTATGTCAGTATTCTAGAGGAGGAGATCTGTGGATAATTTGTCTCCTTTTAAAAAACTTTTGTACAAAAAACACTGAAGGACTCTTCAAGCTAGATTTGGCAGCTCGGCTCCCAGCCCACAGATCTCCACCAAGGAGTGACGTAATTTAACCCTGAAACTGCTTCTTTACCTCTCTTTTAAAAGGTCCCATATTCTTCTTTTCCTGGTTTTATCTGCTCTTTAGTGTTTTCCAAGTGTCCTGTGCATGTTTAGGCACATCTATGTGCAAAAATTCAAAGTCCGCGGAAACGCAGCTTCTCCTACATCCTCCTGTTAGCTGTAGCATTAGCTGCATGTAACGCTCGGTTCTAGCCCCCCTTGATAAAAAATGTGTCAGTGTGACGTCTTTGTCAGTGTGAGATCACTGATCTAATTGGCTCGTTGTGGCAAGCCCAGCAGCTCATGTTGAAATTTCCGAGACTCGTGCTGAGCAACTGACCAATAACGACAGAGCAGATCGGCAGACCAATCAGAGCAGACTTAGCCCACGTGGGGTCTAACAGTGTGGGCTCAACAGAGTGTAGCTGACGGACTCAGAGCGTAGAGGGAGCGAGGAGGAGCAGTACATGAAAACAGACACTTTTTTTGGACTTTAGCTATTGTGAACGTACAAAAGCAGGAACATAGATGAAATATACGAATGAATATATAACTCTGAATGATGAATCCACCACTTAGCTAGCAGCCTCTCCAATACAATGATATTTAACGAACTTGGAACACTTTTTCTTCACTGGTTTAAATTATCATTACCTAAAACTAAAGCGTTAAGATTCGCTGATGAAGCATCTGGTTCAGTTCATTTGAATTAAACACTGATTTATTTTAGCGTAACGTAATCTTTTAAACAGTTAATTATTATTTTGAACGTCTGAAAAGTTAAAAGGATGTGTTAAAGTGTTAAAAAAAGGAAGTTAAGATGAACTGTGGCTGATTGATGACGTGTGAGCTGTCAAAACAGATCAGCTGACAGCGCACACCACACTCTATTCAGAATATTTCTAATTTAACGTTTTAATCACCCTCTAAAAAACATCATCTCTGCTATCTATTCATCTTTAAACACATTAATAATAAATAAGAGATACTATCCTACACATATCATCTCTTTGACTGGCAGTACTTCTCTCCATAACTGTCACATTTCCTAGAAAAGCTGCACATTATTCATCTAAAATATTAAAATAACCAATTTATTAACGTCTTAGCTATTTATTATGTATGCCGAATTAATCAGAGGACATATTTTTGTGACAATATCGACTCCTTTTTCAAATAAGTCTCTCAGTTTTAGTACGAATAGGTTGTTTTTTGGAAATTGACGACTTTCTAAAGGGGGTTCTGCAAGGCGGAATGCTGATTTAACGGGGCACATACGAGCAGACAGTAAGAGATAAATATGATGTAAAAAAAGAGCTGACCTGGTAGTTTGAACGATTTGTAGAACATCTGATAGAAGAGCACTTTGGCCCCGCAGAGGTAGAGCCTGAGGAGAGGCAGCAGCACCGACAGAAGCCACATCTCCGCTTGTTTCCCACCGAGCAGCTTCCTGCGACGAGTCCGGCGGTGCGTCACGATAACAAGTCCGGCTCGGAGTCTGCTGAAAAGGGATTAGTCCACCCGAGGTTCCGCCCCCCTGGAAAAAACCCCCCAAATGCGTCACATCAAAGGAAACATGCCAATTCCGATGCGGATTAGCATCTAAAACAAAGATATCTTGTTCTGGGGATTTTCTCTTTTCTAACCTCTTGCTGTTTATGAACACGGTCTTTGTTCTGAGGCTGCAGTTTAAAGTAGAGGCTGTGGGGGCCCTTGTAAATATTCACAGGGGGCCCCTGCAACCAGCGTTCACAATTAAATATTCAGACACTAAGGTTAACAAAGTTCACTTTAAAATATAAGTAACATTAAAAAAAGTTTAATTTAAAAATACATCCATCCATCCAGTAGAATAGAATAGATGTTTATTTCCCTTTGCACAGGTACGGAGGACTAAAAGTGCCAAAATGAAATATATAAATATTTAATTAATGAAATCATTAAATGTGTCATCAATTATTTAATATTGGAAATAAATCAAGAAATGTATAAATAAATATATAATTATTTAATAACACATGCATTTAATTAATCAAATAATTATATATTTATTTATACATTTGTTGACTTATTTCCAATATAAAATATTTGATGACACATTTAATGATTTCATTAATTATATATTTATATATTTCATTTTGGCACTTTTAGTCCTCCATAGATACAGGACAAGTACAGGTACATTACAATTCTTGTGCGTTTCTCCCTGAGTCAGCTTCTACAAAAAAAAGTTAAAATTATATATAAAATAGAATAACATTATAAGAAAAAAAGTAAAAATAAATAAGTTGTAGTAACAGCTAAGTGATTTAAAATAAACTGTACAGAAGTTATAAACTGTATTAAAGCAAAGATATAATACAAAAAAATAACAAAGGGGAACACTGTACAATGAAATGAAAATATAAATAAGTTTTCTTATTTCACCTGAGGTTATTGCACACATATTTTTCACATTATATAATTGCACTGTTTTTAGTTTTTCAGGTTAATATTGCACACTTGTATTGCACTGTGAGGTGGTCAGCTGTCCATTTAGTCTGTGAGGTGTGGGGTGAAGTATTCATTCCGCTTTTCTCATCTGTTAGAGTCACCAGTTGACCTAACGAGCATGTGTTTGGACTGTGGGAGGAAGCCAGAGAGAACCCACACATGCATGGGGAGAACATGTGTGCAAACCAGTCCCTGTCTGACAGGGGAATTCAAACCAAAAACCTTCTCTCTGTGAGGCGACAGAGCCAATGTGTCAAGTGTCGCTCCCCCACATTCAGGCTTTTAGTCGCCTTTTTCGCACTTTTACTTCAGCCATCTTCACGTCTTTGTACATTTATATTAATTCCACGACAGTGTGATATCGGTGACCCAATCTGTGAATTAACATTATGTTTCCACTTTGCGAATGGCATGACAAAGAGGGAGTATGTTTTAATCTTTTCATCTTGTTGCAGCATCCACATGATTGTCGGCCTGGGGGCAAAGTCATGCTCCTTCACCAACATAATCAAAAACTGCTGGTTTGAAAATTGAACATATGACTGTGACCTAAGTATGGGCTTCAAAATTTCAGAAACTGGATTTTTTTCCTATGAGCTTCCTATGATTTTATCCTTTGAGCTGCAGGGTTTAAAGATGTGGTGAGACTTAATACTTAGTGCATTAGAATAATAATATAATAATAATAATAATAATAACTTTATTTCTATAGCACCTTTTATAAACACAGGTTTACAAAGTGCTTTGACAAACAGCAAAAACAAGAACAAACTAAAGCAAACACAGAAGAACATAAACAACAGCAAGAACAAAACAAATGCAAAATACTAAAAATAATTAAATAGAATTCAACAGAAAAGAACCCAAAGTGCACGATACCCAACAGACATATATAACCCGACCATCACAAGAACCATCACAAGAACCATCATAAGAACCATCATAAGAACCCAGGCAACACGAGCTGAGACCAAGAGGACCAAAGATTTAAAAAGATGTAAGAAACTAAAAGAGATAAAAGTAAATCAAAAGATAACAGCAATAAGAAGGTAAGAGCAGAAAAAGAAATAGAAACAAGTGGTTAAAGGATCAAAAAACCCAAAACTATAATATTAATAAAAATACAAAGTAAATATAAATATGAAACATAAATAGACAAAGTAAGTAAGATAAGAAATTACCAAGTTAAAACATAAGAGGAGTTAAGATAAGAGCATAAATAAAATAACAGTAAGAAGTAAAATAAGATAAAAATAGTAAAACCAGTAAGAGAAGAATATGAATATGAATTACTGTGAGAAACAAGACGTATGAATCCAGTACAAACTGTTGATTACTTGTTCAAAGGAGCAGTATGTAACTCTGACATCTAGTGTTTAAAATGGGTACTGCAGTCAAAAACCATTGCAGAGAGCTGTCTCCCCCCCTACTTCCTCTCTAGCTTCAGTGTTTATCCAGCTCTGCATGGGTCTGTAAACCTTTCTGTGTTCTAACCTCTCTCCATTTTTCAAAAGCATCTCCAATATTGATCCTAGTTTGAGCACGTTTCTGCTCGTGGAGCTTATTAGAAACATGCAGAGGCTTTTTAGGTCGGGTACAATCACTTCTATCTGAACCACTTCTCTTGCCCGCTTCCATCGCTGCAACACCTGTTGACCTGATAACTGCTCTCATATCTGACAAACCGAGGGGCGTCTAAAACGGCCGTGTTGGGGCGTGTCTTAAAAGCGCCTACCTTCTCTGGTCCAAACAAATCCAGAGCATTCAGGAGCAGAATCTAAAGTTAGAAGGAGGACATACTGGCTGCTGCATTGTGGTTAACATACCATGTTTCCTTAATGTCTGATCAGACAGTGAGCTCACTTTATCATTTCACATCTCACTGATTGGACCTTTAAGAAGTCGAGATCTTGAGAAACAACGTATTTATCGGACATATTTCCTTTTTCTGAAGATTATGAAATAAATCAACATTATCGAAAAAAAGATCCTGACGGCGCCAGGATGATTCTGTAAAACGTCCGTCTTATGTAAGGTCTTAGTGTGATCGGGTCAGAACATTCCCCTGAACCTCACATGGACTTTTGCAGAGACATGAAGACATGGTGTCTTGCGTCACTCGGACTCTGTTGCCATGGGACGTTGATAATTGCTCTGATGTGTGCCCGGCTCGGAGTTCTGCAGATAATGTCCTTTGGCCAAAAACCTTGGACGCCTCCCAAACCTCAGCGGAATCAGCACGCTGATTGGTAACGGGTGTTAAAGAAGCAGTTTTCTAACAGGCTCTGTTTGTCTCTTATGACCGGAGGTTGGTGGGCAGTTGGTCTGGAGGAATCAATATCATGCATTGAACCTTTGGTCGTGGCGTGCCGTCTAACAACCGAACGTATATTCAACATTCAGAAGCAGAATGCGTGTAATTGTTAGAACCATCGATTAGTTGGTATGCGATTCGATCCTCCACGAGGTGAAATCTCAGATTCTTAATGTGGTTATTTCCTCCTGCTGCGTGAAAGGTTCATAGTTCTGGTTTCCACTGGAGGGAGATTAGAAATCAAGAATCACGTTTCATCCGTCCGTCAAATACTTCAGTTGAGATCAAGAGATCAAAACATTTACGGAACAAGAAGACATCAAAACGGTTTAAAAGCTGAGGCGTTGGGTCCGTTTGAAACGACCTCTGGTGACCTTTGTCAGATAGTTGGTTTGGTTTTGGATGGTGTGAATGTTCAAATGAAGTCTGGTGTGGACCAAAGAAGTAAATTCTTGTTTTGAACCAGGCTGTAAACATACAACATTAATCTCTGCTGTAAAAACAGGCTTTTTTGAATGGGTGTGTATGTGACTTCCTGTGCTTCTGCAGCCAGCCTCTAGTGGACACTCCAGGAACTGCAGGATGTTACACTTCAGCATCTGCTCCCCGTTAGGTTGCCGCTTGGCTGGGAGTCATGCCAATCGACATTTTTACAAACAGAGTCGGACGTTGTTGTTGTTGTTGTTGTTGTTGTTGTTGTTGTTGTTGTTGTAGTCGACCTTCTCGCTTATGATCAAGACTGGAAGCGTAATGAGCATGTGCGAAAAAGTCTCTGCATATTTGAGACGAACAGCCAAATGAAACCGGAGATTACCGTTATGTCTGACATCGTCATGTTAACAGGACCTACGAATTAATTTATCGGTCTTTTCTGACTCAAACGCCCCACAATAAAAACAAGATGGCGTCTGTCTCCAGGTCAAACTTGAGCTTGAAAACGGTGACCACAAAGGTTGACCTCACGGTGTCTGCGTCCAGGTCTTCAATCCAGTCTGTGACAAAAACCCTGACAGAGAGAGCGAGGCACACAAAGACATGTTTATCCTTCTTCGATGTTTTTCTCTAATCTGTTTCTGACAAGTCCCTTCAGGACCCCTTTTCGCAACGCACCTTATGTAACCGTGCCACGCCCGGCGCGGTGTTTATAAGGTGGGAGTCGGCTCGGGTACAGGTAATCACAGGTTCCACAGGCGTGTGCATCGAGAACACATCAACATGAAGTCTGGTCTGAGAGTCGTCTTCCTCCTTCTCCTGCTCTCCGGGATCGCTGCAGGTAAATTCAAGTTGACTTTTTCTTTAAATTTTATTTTATTTACCATTTTGTACCTTTTGCACTATTTAGAATTTATTACTCTAAATATTATTTATCTTATTTTATCTATTTTACCTTATTTTAATTTATCTTATTTTACCTTATTTTAATTTATCTTATTTTATCTTATTTTAATTTATCTTATTTTACCTTATTTTTGTTGTATTGCACTGCGGGACGGAGACAAATGCAATTTCGATTCCACTGTATGTCTGGCATATTTTGAAATTGACAATAAAGTTGACTTTGACTTTGAAAAAAAAAAAAGAAAAAAAAAAGGCAACCACAGATAAAAACATTTGATCTCTGATTATATTAAAATCTCTTTATCGTCTAATGAGAAAA